TGCCTCCCTTCTCTCTTTCTCCCTTCCCCCTTCCATAACCGATAGTCAGTTACCTGTGATCATCACAGCTGCTGTCATCAGCACCGGCATCGACTCTCGATCAAATCTCTGTTGGCTTTTCGTAGTAATCTACCATCATTTGTTGTGGAGAAGCGTTCAAAAGTTTGTTGGATTTTAAACTACCATCGTTGTTCTTCGTCGATTCTGGCCGATTTTGACGTCCATAATCCACACCGCCACCAACATTTGAATCACTATGCAATTTCGATCAAAACCTAACCTTTCGGCAATGACGATGATGGCCGACTATGGTTGGTAACAGGTTGAAATGATAAATTTTAGTTTTTAAAGGTTTTTTAATAATTTCAGTAAAAATTTGGTCTTTTATAAATAATTTTAGTTTTTTAGGGTTTTATTTTATAAAAAATTAAAAAATAGAAAATAAATTGGTAGGCATCTAAAAATATAACTGAGAAATCGTTAGCTACATATTTTTTAGCGAAAAATTCTTTAAACACTAACTTTTTTTCGATAATGTTAAATTCTTGTTTAGAACGTAAGAGTAATCTTGTCACCTCTTATATTTAGGTAATGTTAAATTCTCATGGGAGTGTTATTTTTTAGACCTTTTTATCTCTAGAGTTTATGCTTTTGTCCATTTAATTTTTTAACACCTAATGTATTATTAAATAAAAAATTGAATCACGAATTAAATATATTATTTCTATGAATAGCATGTAATTTTTTTTTAAAAAACTATTTAATATATTAATTATATTAAAAGTATGTTAATTATAAAATTTAGGTACGATAAGGTCTCTATAGACTATCATAAAGATATCTTTTAATTTGATGTTAAATTTTAAACTTATTAAAGAAAACTCTATTACAGTTATACTTTAGTAAAATATATATTTAGTAATCCTATGTTTTGTCAATCAAACATCATAATCCTATAATCCGATCAAGTAGGTCAAATAAGATAATATAACATATCTAATAACGAGATAATCTTACATTCTAATAATAATCTAAGGTCCTTCAAATAAGGCTCAGAAGTTCAAATATTAACGTTTTAAATGAAAAAATTGATTTGAAAGAGTCGTCATCGTAATAGATCATTATATAATTCGATCCAGATTAATCGGCTAATGAGAGAGAATTATGTGACGATACGGGTGTGGGTTTGAATCGAGTGATGGGTGGTTTTAACAATGATAAAATAATTGAAAACACAAAGACAGAGTGTAGTGGGGAGAAATGTAGAAAGGAGAATATGATATCTAATCAGATTTGTGGGAACATGGATTCCAAATCCCCTTACAGGTCTGCATGCAATTACTTCACACGATTTTGTTAACCAAATACAATCCCTTGGGAATCGCTTTTGTCTCTCTTAATATTTGCCATTAACATCTCAGCCCAAAAGGAAGCACCCCAATTATTCTTAAATATATCTCATTTTATTTATCTGAGTGTTGTTTATTTAAGAGTTCAAACTTTTAAAATGATCGAACAAAATAGATCATTGTTTCATGGTTAGAATCACTGCTTTAGAAGAGTTTTTATCCTTATCGGTATAATCGTAAAATAGACGTCGTCCTTTAAAGTTAATTATGATATTTATACTTTTGTATATATCATTTGCAGATTTATAATGACAGGCTCTTAAATGTGACTTAAAAGTAAAGGGATGCTAGAGAATAGAGTGTCCTTTGAAGAGGGTATAAATGATTAACAAAGAATATCCTAAGATTCTGGAGAAAGCTTGATCCAACATGAGCTGGTTTGAGATATATGTGATCTTTGCTTTTAATATATTAATAATTAACTTTTTCTTAAACATTTTACAACAATGTATAGGTCGTTTATTGATGCAAATGAGCTTTTCAATGTGCATATGATTTAGAAAAGTGCATACTAACCTTTGCCTTGATTTTTTATTAAGCTAAAGTGGTTACAAAACAATATATATTACTTATTATGTGTTTATCATCTACATCTTATTTAGTTCGGTCTGAAAAGTGTGTATCCTATAATTTTACACATAAAAATAAAGAAAAATCCGTTTTGGGTAAAAGGAAATATATGTAAATTATAACATCGTTATTAACATGCGATACAATCTTATTTTGTTATATCATCAAAAGTTATAAAAAAATTAATGTTTTATTCTGTAGACCCAACTTATATTTACATATATGCTTTAGGTATTGGCCAAGGTCCTATGCTTAATATTTAGCTTGGGTGGAAGATTTTCTTGTGTTTTTTTAAAGGATTTTGTTGATGAGTGTCGCTAAACCACTCTTTAATTATATTTAAATATATTATGGTGTATATGTTTGGGGGGAGGGATATGTATAGCTAACCCTATAAAGGTGAAAGGGAACAGTCATTTACTTCTCAAACTTCATTGTCTATTCTTTCCCAAGCACTGAATGGTACAACTCTCACATTTCTGTTGTCCAAAATCTGGAGGAGTCCGTCTCTTCCGAGTTCCGGCGAGCTCACTGTGATTCTAAGACACCATGTTCGAGATCTTCCGACACGCTTGCAAGTTGCAACTTACCATAAGAATGGTGCACTTAGCAATGCCATGTAAACATTAAAATCAAACGAAGTTGCTCAATGTAATAATTTGCTAAGGTCATAGCCCATGGGGCCATAGTTGTAAAAAGGCAACCACGCCTCACCTGTGGCCATCGCCGGCTCTCATGGTTCGGCCCACTAATTGATATGGGTTACACATGTCATAATTCACGTTAGGATGACCTCGCGTTATTAGGGGATAAAAAGCATAATGACAACATTAACCCCCAATGTTTATCCAAATATTCACTTTAACCTCTGTTCTTTTCTTTGGAACATTTCAGCCTCGACGTTTTAATTTTTGGTCAAAATCAGGGATGAACTAAGAGAGGGGCAAATGGGGTCAGCTTTCCCCAAAAAAAATTAAAATTATCAAATATTTTAATTTTTTTCTATGTATTTTTTAATGAAAATATGTTTTCACCTCCTTGGCATTTTATAAATTCATCTATTCCTAAAATTTTAGAAGTTTATCCCATAAATTAAAATTATGCATCTTTCCTTGATCTAAATAGCCCATATGGTAATTTGGTGTCGGTAAGGAATGTTAAAAAGGCTCCTAAGAGTGTTTGAACTAATATCCAGCTTGAGTCTCAATTTGGGTAAGACAAAATTATTCGGGATCAATATTGATGATTCTCAAGTGGCAGATTGGGATAGGGTCATGATGTGTGGTTGTGGAAAGCTCCCAACTTTGTATCTCGGTTTGCCTCTTGGTTGTTCGCGGAACTCAGCAGAAATTTGGAGTCTCATTATTGATAAGTTTCATGCCCGGCTTGCTGGTTGGAAAGGAAAGTTTCAATCTTTCGGGGACATATTAACTCTAGTTAAGTTCATTCTTGTTAATCTAGCAGTTTATTACTTATCTCTCTTTCATATGCCTGTAGCGGTAGCGGCTAAGTTGAACAAGATCATTGCAATTTTCTGTGGCGTTCTGACACTAGTAGATCCATCCATTGAGTTAAGTGGGATATCATTTACAAAACTAGGCTCCAGGGTGGTCTTGGCATCACCGATGTACGTCTTAAGAATAGGTCTCTACTAAATAAATGGATTTCGCGTTTTGGGTGTGGACCTAATTTTCTTTGGAGGAATGTGGTCGTGGCGAAGTATGGGTTGGATCAGATAGATTTATGTCCGAGTCCCGTCCTTTCAAACAAGTCTTCATGGATTTGGAGGAACATAGTGAGCCCCCTCGACAATAGCGATGACCATTTTAAGTTGAACTTAAGGTTTTCCTGCGGTGATAGCAGTCGTATTAATTTCTGAGACGATTTCTGAACGGACGTTCTGTCATTAAAGGTAGCTTTTCCAAGGATATTTAGTATAACAGTTAAAAAATTTGGAAAATTATTGTACTTGGATATAGGATCGATGGTGTGTGCGTGTGGAAAATAGAAATAACGAGGGCTCTATTTGATTGGGAATTATGTTTTTGGGATGATTTCATGAGTACAATCAACAGAGCAATTCAAGGTAGCGGTGTGGTTGACAGAGCAAGGTGGTTGGGCTCCAAATGGTTTATATCCGCCTAGCAGCTATTGCAATTCGGTGGTTAGCGTCGGGGTGCAACCAGATAAGTTCTGGAACCTTGTTTGGTCTAACTTAGCTCCATTAAAGGTCAAGGCTTTTATTTGGAGACTCGTATTACAAAAGGTTTCTCCCTAAACTTAAGTGGAGAAAAAGATTGCTTGTGGAAGTTTCAAAAACCAGCAACAACAAATAGCAGGGACAGTACCAAACTCGACATATTACCCTTAATAAACCAGGAATCACTAGTCCCACGAGTCTACAACAATAAGAAAATTACAAAATCACAAGTCCTAGAGAATAATTGGAGTATTTGTTTTTTTTAATTACAAAATTAAATTTCAAAGCATAGTAGGGTTGATTGAATGGTTATACATTAGATTTAGTTTTCATTTAATTATATATACAATTTAGAATTGGAGTCATGTTTTTAAATTTACTCTTTCTTAAATATAAACATGAACTAGTTCAATTTAATGATATATAAAAAAGTAGAACCAAACTAATAGAATAAAAAATATAAAATCCTATTCAATGAAATTTCGACATGTCTAGGAGTGTCTTGGAAATGGTAGTCATTCACCTGAAGACCTGAGGTTAGGGATCCCCCAAAAAAGTGTGGCGTCACGGGAGGATCTCATTCATCATCCCCTTTATAAACTCATAATTAACCCAAACACAGCCTTACCAAGAGAATTCTAAACTTTGATACTTCACAATAACTAGAAAAAGAAACATACAAATATACAGTCATCCATGGGCTGGAAAATAAAATACTATTGTCCTTCTCTGATTGTCGATTTATACAATGATGATTATTATGTAACCCCTCCAAAAAAAAATCATTTTCCTTTTGTGATATATAAACTTTATATTATGTATATATTGCAGGTGAGGAAGGAAAAGTTGGGGTGTAGAATTACAACGCTTCACCAGCTTGTTTCACCATTTGGGAAGGTAAATACAACGATTCTAACTTAGTTAATTGCATGTGTTGTTTAAGAATCTATTAAACAAAAAGACAATGAACCTTACATTGGAGGGTTGTGTTTTTTTTCCTTTCACTTTTGCAGACTGACACGGCCTCTGTCTTGTTAGAGGCTATTGGGTACATTAGGTTCCTTCAGAGTCAGATTGAGGTGATGTTTCTTTTCTTCCCCTCCTTCACCATCCTCCCTTTATTTTGCGTTGAACCATGAATCCTTACTGTTATTCTTATATGTATAATTGTATATGTAGGCTCTCAGCTTACCGTACACGGGCAGTGGATCATCGGGAAAAATGATGATGATGCGTGCTAATTAATAACTCCTTAGCCATAATTCTCTCTAATTTACTTGTATGATTTAAGCTTGTTTCTATAACTTTGATCTTTAAATTTAAAAAAAGGGATCAAACTTAATTTCTTTAATTTTAAAATAAACAAGAACTTAAGAAGTATTTAGACTCAGAAAATGTGAGTTAAGATTCGAAGTTTTTCTGATTTCAAAACCAAGCAAGGTTAAGGACGTTTGGCAAGAGATTAGACGGAGGAATGAGAAGGTGCCGTGGGCGGAGTTGGTTTGATTTCCGGAGCACATTCCTAGGTTTGCTTTGGTCGCATGGTTTGCACTCTTGAACAGGTTACCTACTAGAGATCGTTTGTCAAATTGGGGACTGGATGTCGTGAGCAGTTGTGTCCTCTGCTCGAATGATATGGAAACAAGGGATCACTTGTTCTTCGGTTGTGAGTTTTCTAAGGAAGTATGGGTTGGCGTTTTGCAAATGTGCCATATCTCGTGGTCTGTTGGAAGCTGGAGCCAAGAGGTAGCGTGGGCTGTGGCAGAGCTTAAGGGTAGGTCTTCCTTTTCTGCTTTGCTTAAGCTTGCTTGAAACACTTACATTTATCGGGTGTGGGGCGAAAGGAATTGCGGGGTTTTTGGTGGGAGAGGGAGTAGTGTGGGGGAGGTGGTTAGCAGGATAAGAGAGGATGTTCGTTTTCGCCTAATGGGAGTGACAATGAAGGGAGCAGAGAGCAAAATTGCTGTTTGTAGGAATTGGGGTATCGAGTGAACGAGTAGTTGATTGTTTTTGCTTGTTGATGTGATTAAGGGGGGGTTTGGTTCAACATTCCCATGTTTGGCTCATTTTCGATAATGTTTTATTACCAATAGTAGATTTTTTGGAGTATATTATCGGGAATGTCATTACCTCCCTTCCCTTAGGTATTGTAACATTACCGGCGTTTTGGACTAAAATGCCCTTAAATATTTATTTTTTTCAAAAATATCATTCTTCTGTCATTGAATAATAAAAATTCTACGAATGTTAAATTACAAATTTATCTTTAAATTATTTTAGATTTACAAAAAAAAAAATCTATAATTAAAATTTTATATGAAGTTCAGGGGTTAAATTTTTTTTTACCCTTTTATTAAACTTTTTTTATATTTTTAATTTTGTAAAAAAATTATATAACTATTATGAATTTAATTTTTTAAAGAAAATATATAAATATTTTAAAATTTGTAATATTATACAAATATATAGTAAGGATAATTTGGTCAAATATACATTCCAATAATCTTTTATTCCTTTAACCAAACACGATAATCTTACATTCCTGCTAAACCAACCAAACACAAAATACAACATTCTCAGTAATCCTATTCTCTGGTAATCTTTTATTCCCACTGGTAATCTTTTATTCCCATTGGTAATCTTACATTCCGTGAACCAAACGCACCCTAAGTGTTTATTTGGGTTGTTTTTCCTCTTCTGTTTGCATTCTTGATTGGGGGGATTGGCTGTAGAGGGCTGTTTTGGTTCAGTTTGTGGCTGAACTCTGCTTTGATTGGGGATTGGTTGCACTGAGCTGTTTTGTTTACTTTCTTTCAGACTATTGTTTGTTTTGGTTCCATTGTAGCAGACAACTGCTGTCTTTGGGTAATGAAATTTTAGTCATTCATCCAAATATATATATATTTGGATTGGGCTGGGCTGGGCTGGGCTGGATCTAAAAAATCCAAATATATATATATGATGTTGAAATTGGCTATGTTCAACCCCATTTTTGGATCCTATATATATTTAACTCCAAACCCTCCTATATATCGGATGAGTTTTCGGCCTTGGATTAGAGCCTGATATTTTATCCAAATTCAACATATTTTGATCTGATGTGATTAGGGTGTTTATTTTTCGGTTTTAACTGAATTAATTAGTTGAATAGAATTAGTTCGGTTAATTCGGCCGGAGAACGGTTAATGTTTTTGTTATATTTGATTAACGGTTAATTCGGTTCAAAATCAGTTAATTAACCGAATTAACCAAAATCATTAAATATTAAATACATATTTTAAGCTCAAACCCATTAAGAATTAAGATCTAATTATTTTTTTAATCACAGTAGACCCATTAAGAAGCTCAAACCGAAATAAGGTTGTAATTACTGTCCAAGTTGTTCATTAATAAGATTTACTTCTCCCCACGCAATCAGTGATGGATTAAAGAATTATCAATGCTGGAATCCAAGTCAAAGACAAGCCAAACTAAGCCGCCGGATTCACCTTTCTTCCACGTTTATATTTGAATTTTCCCACGTTGAAGTTTCCATATTCTTGACCTTTTCTAACTACGTAGCAATCTGTTGGATTAAACAAATATATGTGTGGTGGAAAGTCAGTTGTCTGTGAGTGACAGCTTTGATATAAAAATTAGGCCAAGTTTTACAGATTTCTGCAGGAGACGATGGGTCTGAGCTTGGAAATGGTGTTGTTTGTTCATTTTCTTGTTCTTTTGGGGATTGGTATCAATGGAGTCGATGGTTCGATTTCTTCTTCTACTTTGAGGAAGATCGATAGGATAAACATGGGAGGTCCATACTTGGCCATAATAGTGCCAAATACCTTTGAGATGAATCCTCTATTGCAATCTAGCAGCTTTGTGCCTGATCATAAGCTTCCTTACCTTGATTTTTCAGGTGATTATAAACTTCATCCAGTTTCTTAGCTATTTTTTTTAATGTAGAATAGCTATGTTAGGGATGTAAATGAATATAATGTTCGATGAACGGTTGGTCAACCGCTTGTTTATTAAGCTAAATAAACGAGTATAAACCGAATTTTTATGTTTATTTAATAAACGATCGAACACGGACACCAAGTTTACAGATTTCTGCAGGAGACGATGGTCTGAGCTTGGAAATGGTGTTGTTTTGTTCTTTTCTTGTTCTTTTGGGGATTGGTATCAATGGAGTCGATGGTTCGATTTCTTCTTCTACTTTGAGGAAGATCGATAGGATAAACATGGGAGGTCCATACTTGGCCATAATAGTGCCAAATACCTTTGAGATGAATCCTCTATTGCAATCTAGCAGCTTTGTGCCTGATCATAAGCTTTACCTTGATTTTTCAGGTGATTAAAACTTCATCCAGTTTCTTAGCTATTTTTTTTAATGTAGAATAGCTATGTTAGGGATGTAAATGAATATAATGTTCGATGAACGGTTGGTCAACCGCTTGTTTATTAAGCTAAATAAACGAGTATAAACCGAATTTTAATGTTTATTTAATAAACGATCGAACACGGACATATGTGTGTTGGGTTGTTTATATTCATGAACAAGCTCATTTAAAGGTATTTTTTTGCTTGTTTATGGACTCTTATACACTTGTTTGCCCTGTTTTTCCTTTTACTATTTTTTTTTACATTTTAAATATTGATAAAATTATAGACTAAATTGAACACATGATGAACTTTGGAGTTTAAACTGTGAAGCATGAGGAGCTTTAGGACTAGTGACATAATTTCATCATTTTGTTGAATAGATAAAAGAATGAACACATGAATCTCAATCGATCTGAACACGAACGCCTTAAAAAACAAACTAACATGAATACGGTATTAAAAGTTTAAATGAATACGAATAGAACATGAACACATTCAAAAATAAACAAACAAACATGAACACAACCTTATTCGTTCAAGCTAGATTCATTATATCCTATCGCTAGAGTTGCAAAAATAACCCGAACATTTGTTAGGTTTTGATCGGATCTGAGCTTATAAGACAGTTATGGTTTGGGATGAACATGCTTATTAGTGTGTGTGTATTAGTTTACTGTTTGTAAAAATGTAAAATGAACATATATTCATGCATATTATACGAATAATAAATAAACAAATATGAATATACATGATTCTAATTAAACAAACACGATTTTAATTTTTTTTAACAAATACAAATGAACTTAAAAATAAAGAAACTTAAACAAACAGGAGGACAATTTTGTTCTTTAAAATTCGATTCATTTACGGCCCTACACTTCAAAAAAAAATAACCCTTTATTTTACACTTTGTTCATTCAGGAAGAAGGTTCCGAATTGGGCGCTTGAGAAATGAAAAGGTTATTGTTGTTATGACAGGGTTGAGCATGGTATGAAAGTTTTTGGATCATATCTGCAATTTAATCATCTTTTTTATTCTTTTCTGGTCCTCGATGTTGTTGATATTTACCCATTTTCCTCCTGGTATATATATTTAAAACAGCTAAATGCAGGGATAGCTACACAATTGATGCTGAGTTTATTCAAGGTCAAAGGAGTATTGCACTATGGAATAGCAGGAAATGCAAATCCTCAGCTACAGATTGGGGATGTAACCATCCCTCAGTTTTGGGCTCATACTGGCCTTTGGAATTGGCAGGTACCCCCATCTTTCTTTTGTTTTTGGATAAATATGCGTTTTGGTATTTGAATTTAACGTTCAATTTGGTACTTTATTTTTTGGGTCCAATTTAAGTTTCAATTTGGTACTTAAAGTTTCTTGTCCAAATTTTTTTCCTACATTGAATGACTTATTTGACTTAAGAAACTAAGTTTAGGTATCAATTTGAATCAAAAAGTTAAGTTGAAGTACTCAATTGGACCAAAACAAGTTTAGTTACCAAATCGAATCTTGAGATCAAGTTTAGTTATCTTGATCTCACCCTACCCTATAGTTGGCTCTATTTAAACTTTACTTGTGATAATTACTACCGTTTTTTTTTTCTAAAAATTGTATAATATTGTTGAAAGAGGTATGGAGATGGGCCAGAAGACGAGCTAGCATTAGAATCAAATGGAGACTACACCAGAGAAATTGGTTACCTCAGGTTCTCCGATTACAACAACAGCACACAGTGCAACATTTCTTCAGAGAATCTGCTCAACAATGTTTGGTTTCAACCCGAAGAGATTTTCCCAGTGGATGGAGTTCCTGAACAAAGGCACCACGCTTTCTGGGTTCCCGTCAACGACCACTACTTCGCCGTCGCAGAAAGAGTCCAGGTAAAAGCTAAATGCACAAACAAGAAAAAGGGTTAATCGCTTCCGATATTTCAGATTTAACGCGTTCAAAATCAGGGTCTGAGACTCGGCGGATGCGTGAACGGGACCTGCTTGCCGAGAGCACCGATGGTGGTGAGAGTAGAAAGAGGGATAAGCTCCAACACGTTTGTGGACAACAGAGCTTATCGTGAGCTGTTGAATTCCAAGTTCAATGCAACAGCGATCGACATGGAGACGGCTGCAGTTGCCCTTGTCTGTCACCAACAAAACATGCCTTTCATTGCATTCAGATCCTTGTCTGATTTAGCCGGCGGGGGTTCTGCCTTGTCCAATGAGGCCTCTTTGTTCACCGCTTTGGCATCTCAAAATGCAGTTGATGTTCTCATTAGCTTCACTTCCTTGTTATCTTCATAAGCACATCACGCAAATGACAGATTGATGGTTGATTGTGTTGCTTTGTTAATTGTCACCGCAATAATGTAAATCCCAGTTTCAATACCAACTTTGGGTTTTACAAATTATGTGTACAAATAATTTCTACAAACTTTTAAAATCGGATTATAAGATCTATAAAATAAAACTGTTATGTTAAAATACAAATGAAACCTTAATATAATGCAATATTAACATAAGAAGAAATTTTTAAAAGGGTAAAAGTACACAAATGGTCCCCTGACTATAAGTTGTTGCTTTATTAAGTCTCTCGACTATTAAAACTTACAAAATGATCATTCTACTATAGAGTGTCGCTTTGTTGAGTCCCTCGACTATTAAAAGTCACAAACCGGTCACCCGACTATTTATTATGTTCCAAACTCGTCCTTTTATGCCAAAAAATTGACGTTCGTATGAGCTGAACGTTAACATGGTTGAAGACACCTAATTTCATCCGCCCTAGCTAATATTATATTATTTAATATTGTAAATTATGTTATATAATATACATATATTATCATTAATTTTATTTTATTTTTTTTATGTACAGGCCCAAATAAAATACATCAATACCCCACTATGAACCCAGTTGGCACCAAGACCCAACAGTGGACCCGAAGCCAACATTTCCTCTAGGGTTGTTTGAACCCTAACTCCTACTCCATCAGCGCCGCTCGACCGAGTGTGAAGACTCCCACAGCCACCATCCTCACGCCTCCAACAACCCGAGTTCCACGCCGGAGATTTCGACACCCACAACAAATGCAACCAACAACAGTAGATCAGTCACATTAGGACTCTAAAAATAGATTTTCTTAGGTTATAAATACATGTATTTGTAGCACTACAGTGGGGGGATTACACGAGATTAGTAGGCATCAGATTACTCACAAAATACACAAAAACACTAGCAAATACGAGAGAAGCAATATCAAATACCAACGCTTTGTAAATCTTTTTGAAGCAAAATAAAGGATAAAAGTTTCTTACCTTTCTTGTTTCCTTTGCATGTGTATTTCTCTGTTGCTTTTGGTTCGCATTGAACCCCAAAAAATCATTTTTAGCCGATAAACAGGGGGAATTTTTCAAAACTTTGAATTTAGATCTACCCCGAGGCTTCGTTTTTGAGGAAACTATTCAGATTTTTTGAACGAGGGCACTAAGAACTTTAAAAAAAATGAAAGCTTTTTTGATTTTGCCACCGATGACCGGTGCCGATCAACAGCGGCGACGAGGCGGCGCTGGAGGCCGATTTTTGGAAACCGTGACCCTTGTTCTTCAAATGAAGAACATTTCAGAGAAATGTTTAGAGAGAGGAGCTCTTTCGGGCGAGAAGAGAGAAATGAGAAAATTAAAACAAGTTTTGGGTCTTATACCTGGCCCGTACTCGACCCATACGACTCGTACGACCCGACCCAGTGGTCGAGGATCCGCGTGTTTTACCTTTAAAAGCTTTTGGACCCTCTGACTTTGAAAGCTTCTATTTTGACCCCAAAATCAATTTGTGAACCAGATTCTCTTTTAATTTCACTCGTTTAATCCTTTTTTACGATTTAGTCATTTTTTAATTTAGTTTTACTTTCTATTCATTTTATTTAATATTATAATATTTATATATTTTGTATTTTCCTTTAATATTATTTTTTGGGTTTTTGTTTCTATTTTAATTTTTTCCCTTTAATATTTTATTTTCATGTGCATACGTGTATTATTATTATTATATTATTATTATTATTTATATTTTTTTATTTATATAATATATTATATACCATATTATATATATACAATTTGTATTTGTATTTGTATTTTATTTTTTTTCTTTTTATCTCTTGATTTTATTTATTTATTTTAATTTTTCTCCTTAAGTGTTTTGCTTTATTTTTACTAACAATTTTATTTGTTTTTTATGTTTTACTTATTTTATTATTTTATTTTTTCTTCTTTTTCCTTGTTTTATTATTATTTTCATGTTTGCATCTTAATTCGATTATAGATTTCACTACATTTCTATCTTTTTGAGGGTACACTTTTAAAACCAATCAGAGGTAAGTAATTTCGGATCGTTATTTTACCTTTTAAGTTAAACTTTCAATTTCTTAATTAAAGACAACTGGAAACTACGTAGTACCGAAAGGGCAGTTCAAGGGTGCTAACCCTTCCTTGAATGTAACCGACTCCCGAATCCGACATATCACTGGTAAGACGCTGATCAGGTAAGAAGTAAGGTATCCGATCAACCCATTTGTTTTAAAATAAATGATCGGTGGAGACTCCAATTCGTTTAATCCAAGTCAAAGCCCAATTACTAGGCCCAACCGAAAGACGGCTCCGACAATGGTGACTGAAATATGATAGTTGTTTGACATTTTACGATCATATTTTATCATATTTAACGTTCAACTCAATTTTTCATCATTTTTAATGAAAAAGGATGAGTTTGGAGTACAATGAATACTCTGGTGATTATTTTGTAACTTTTAATAGTCGAGGGACTCAACAAAGCAACATTCTATAGTCAAGACTCAACAAAGTAACATTCTATAGTCAAAGAACCATTTTATAACTTTTAATAGTTAAGAGACTTAATAAAATATAAACTTATAGTCGATGGACCATTTGTGTACTTTAACCTTTTAAAAATTTGATATTTTTAATGACTAAAATATTATTTAAATATAGTTGGATTGTTTTCGTTTTTACTTCAACAGTTTATTCTGTACGACCTCGTAAACGACGTCGTCTGTCTTCGTTCTTCCTACTCGCTTTTTCCTTTGATTCTATTATTTGAAAATCAGAAAAGACTGAAGCTCAAAAGAACCTCACATAATCAGTAGGAAAAGGGAAAAATGGAGCAACCACTACCGAAGAGCTGGAGCATCCACACCCGACCGGAGATCATCGCCAAGTACGAGATCCTGGAGCGCGTGGGTTCAGGCGCCTACTCCGACGTCTACAGGGCGCGTCGGCTCTCCGACAACCTCATAGTCGCCCTCAAGGAAGTCCACGACTACCAATCGGCGTTCAGGGAAATCGAGGCCTTGCAAATGCTTCATAACTGCCCCAACATCGTCGTCTTGCACGAGTACTTTTGGCGGGAAGACGAGGATGCCGTGCTCGTCTTGGAGTTCTTGAGGACCGATTTGGCGACCGTTATCCGCGACGCGAAAAAGAATGAAGGCGGGATCCGGGTTGGTGAAATTAAGAGATGGATGCTCCAGATTTTGTGTGGGGTTGACACTTGTCATCGGAATATGATTGTTCATCGGGATTTAAAGCCTGGGAATTTGTTGGTTTCAGATGATGGGGTTCTTAAGTTAGCCGATTTTGGCCAGGTACACTTATGTTTTCTTAGCTTTAATTTAACTTCAGTTTTTTAATTTGCATATCATGTAATTAGTTGAATGTGAAGCTTTGGGATCTTGGATTAAGTTTTTTTCCAATTGTAAAGTTGACATTTTAAGCTTGCTAATAATTTCCTGGCACGGGTTGCAGGCCTTGAACTTGAAATTTCTAAGTGTTCGAGTTAATAGCTCAATGATCAAGTAAACTGGTATAGATCAATGAACATATAGCAAGTGTCCAAACCGATTCCTTGAGCTTTTAGACTCCACTATTAGTGAATATGGAGCCTGGATTGATGGTGATGATGATAACCAACAACTGCTGGTTGAACAAAACACAGGATATCAGGAAAATGTAACTCCACCATTAGATGTTGTTGCTGATGCTCACATTTTGCCAGATCAAGGATTTAATAATAAGCAAGTGGTGGAAGATACTAATAGAGAAGAATATCTTAGACAGCTAGTTGAGCTAAAGGCTAAACGACATGCCGTGGATGAAACTGACAAAGAAATAAATGTTAACGATGGATACTCATCTTGTCTTGCAACAGGTACCATAAGTGACATTGACGATGATCCTCTCCAGATTTCTTACTCATACGATGCTGAAGAGGCTGGGGATGGCAGAAATGGTGCTCTCACATCCTGTGTTGGTACTCGCTGGTTTAGAGCCCCGGAACTACTATATGGATCAACAGACTATGGACTGGAGGTAGATTTGTGGTCATTGGGTTGCATTTTCTCAGAGTTTCTAACACTTGAGCCGCTTTTTCCTGGGGTTTCTGACATTGATCAGCTCGGCAGGATCATCAATGTTTTGGGAAATTTAACTGAAGAAGTCTGGCCAAACTGTTGTAAACTCCCTGATTACAAAACAATTTCTTTCGCCAAGATCGAAAATCCGACCGGTTTAGAAGCCTGCCTACCGAACAGGTCTGCAGATGAAATCTCCATTGTCAAAAGACTTGTTTGTTACAACCCAGCTAATAGAGCTACTGCAATGGAGCTCCTGAATGACAAGTATTTCGATGAAGAACCTCTTCCACTTCCCATTACTGAGCTGCATGTACCTCTCACAAAAAATGAACAATACGAGGATTCGCCTGGTGGGTGGAATGATTATGATGACATGGGATCCGACTCTGATTTTGGTGACTTAGGCCATTTCAAGGTCGAGAACACCGGCAGTGGTTTCTCCATACAATTCTCTTGAGCTTGCTCTCCATCAAGGTTTCGTTTGAGGTATAATTTAAGAAGTTGAAACCTGAAACTAGAGATGAAAATCATGAATCCGGTACAACTTATGTATGAACAACACGTGAATTTGTAATTACTGTGTAAAGCTCCAAGAGAATGGATTACTCGAGGGGCTTGAAATGAAAATCATAGACAAGCTAAGCTTGAAACAGTGACATTGAAGTTTGATTTTTATCTACCTCATACGGTACGGTATAATATAGTAGTTATGCACTACTGAATTTTGTAGAGTTAAACCTTCGAAATTGCATTTTATGTACAAGTTCATAATCTTCTTTAATTTGTGATTGGACAACATTATCCTATACAGGAGTCTTAGTTTGTTCTTATAAAATGTAGTTTTTTTTGTGAATAGTGTAAAGCATGATATTTGATTTACTTTAATATATATATATATATATATATATATATATATATGGATTTTTAAGGAAATATTATTTTTTTTAAAAGACTCGAGTTTGAGTAATTGTGTTTGCAAGATATGCGTTCATTATCATTTATCAATAGGTGAACAAAATACCTTATAATTGCATTACTTAGCTCGTAACTCCTTTAAACGAAACTGCAAATCTTCACATAAATTATTTATGTTTGATTCATTGTCGAGATTTGTGATTGATTATTTTGGTAATCTAATACGATTATTTTAGATAAGAATAAATTATTTTAAATAAAATTTCTAAGAAAAAGTTTACTATTGAAAAATATCATTAGTTTTGACTTTTGATGACTATCATTGACCGAATATATTGACGTTTATCGATATTAATTTTATTTTTTAAAATTTAAATATTATTTTAAAAATAAATATAAATTTATTTTGCAAAAAAAATATTTCAAATTTCATAAATTTTATTTTCCCCTAAATTCTTTTTTAAATTTTGCAAAATAAATGTGTGAAGGAATTACATATGAAATTTCAAACTGAAATAAAAATATTTAAATAATAAAGTAAAAAATTAATATAATTCAAAGGTTAAATTATTTTAACAAACACGAATTTTTGGAAAACCTGAGTTTAATTAAATCAGATCCGACGTTCAGTAACATTCAACAAGCACACCTATGAATTTATCCGTCAGATTAATATTTTTATCACGGCCCGTCGGATACGAAGCCCATACAAATCTCCACCATCCAATTGACCCAAAAAAATATATAGAAATTGAAATTTCAAAAACTTAGCAAGAGAGAGGGAGGAGACATGAAGGAAGAAGAGAAGAAACAGCAAACCAAAACGAAGTTCCTAAACACTTTTGCTTCTCTTTTCTCCTTCTTCAAAAATCACTGCTTTACAAACCCTAACTCATATTGCTCTTTTTAGTTTTCTTTAGTCTCTCTCTCTCTCTCTCTGCATCGATCGGATTCTAAATCCTCTCGATTATTTGGAAGTTCATGGTGGAAATCTCGAGCTTGGGGGAATCGAGGTTGTTTTGGTAATTTGGAGTTTTTTCGATTGTAGATTGGGATTTGGACCTAAAAGATTCTGAATTTGAGTTTATTTAAGGTAATTTGTGAGATTATTTGGTGGATATTTTAGCTGTGGCTGTGTGCTGATTTTTTTTCTTTGAAATTTAGGGGGGAGTTGGAATTGGATGGGGGAAGAAGAGGGAGGTGAAATCCCGCCAAAAAGTGTGCAATCTGATACGGCGGATTTTCCTTCGAAGAAGCTAGCAAGGCAGCTCGATTTCACCGCTGGTTTTGGCGGGGTTTCTTCTGGAGATGTGAATTTGCCGGAACACCCGAAATCCTCCCAAAGGATAGGTGCGCCCTCGTCTTCGGCTGCAATTACTGTGCAACTGCAACAGATAAAGCCGCTAGTGGTAGCTACCACCCCTGTTATCACTGCGCGACCTCCTCCTCTTACTACGGCCTCGAGCAGAGTTGTGTAAGCTCTTCTGATAAAAAATGTGATTTTCTTTTAGTTTGTTGTAATTATTCTTACTTTTTTGGTGTTTTCTCTTTGAATTAGTTCGTGTTTGACAAAATTTAAGTTCGTGTTTATTTTCCTTTTTGAGAGTGTACATACTACATAGTGAGGAGCTCTTCCGGATTGACATTTTATGCTTCAGCACTAACTCTGTAATCTCAGCTATATTTGCATCAAATTCTGTTTTTCTTTTTCTCTTGGAAATACGATTTTAGGAAAGTTAGTTTTTGCTTTAACATAATAGTGGAGCTTCTTCTTGGAAGTGATCATTTGGAGGTTAATTGGTGCTTTTGTATTTGTTTTTCCTTCAAATTAATTTCTTTTGTCCTTTGATTTCTTCACCAAACGTTGTTTTGAATAAAGTTATGAATCAATTGATTTTCTCTAAGCTATATCATTCACATTATATAGCTTCTGTAGTGGGTTTCTTCTGATAGGGTGAGAAAATTAAGCAAGCTAGTACTCTAGAATGTCATGAGAGATGGAGGAGAGGATGATTGAAGTAGATTTTGGATAACAGATGCTGGTAAATGGTGGTTAAGGAAAAAAGTGGCTTGGGAAGATAAAAAAATGTGGTGGTTAGTTATAGAGAGAAAGTTGCATACTGAAAGAAATGACAAAAGGTTAAGGCAGAGGCTTCTTAACAATCTCCAATTCAGAGGCATTCCCTGATCATCCCAATGGTGAAGTAAACTCAAAAATCCTGCCCACTGATTCCAGGTTAGCTCCACTGCTCTTCCTGCAGTAGTTACGTACCACACTACAGAACGTGTTTATGTTGCTACGCTACTAGGGAATGAAACGATGCAGTGTCAGAAGAGTGGAGTGCTAGAGCCCCGCGTTGATGCTGCAAACTCTTGGAGCATGAGAGCCATATAGTGCTAGAGCAGTGAAGTGCTGAAACCCTGAAGCTCTAGAGTGTTGAAGCACTGAAGTGCTGGAGGAGTGAAGCTTTGGAGTTAAAACATTGAAATGCTGGAGTTCCGAGTCAGGGACGGTGCTAGCCCCCCCCCCCCTGAAACAACAACAACAAACCTTTTTGTTTAATCAAAAATATTTTGGGCCCCTCATAGTTTGGATGTTAATCAGATCAAGCCTTGCTCCCCCTAAAGGTTTTAGTATATACTTCTTAGGTCCCTAGGCTTTTTGGCCCCCTCAATATTCAATCCTAGCTCCGTCACTGTCTGGAGTGCTGGAGCACTTCAGGATTGGATTGCTACTGTTCAGGAACACTGCTACAAAAAGAGTTGGTGTTAGGGAGTGTTGGCACCTGGACATTCTGTTTAACCAAGCTTTCCTGCATGACATGTTAGAAACCAAAAATTGGTATTGACATGTTAGGCTCTTTGCTGATTGTTTCCCATTATTTCTGTCTAGAATCTAGTGTAGTTCTAGGATGTGACATTTTGTTTCTTGGACAGTACCATATTGGTCATTTTCCCCCTTTCTTACCTTTTAATTGCAATGAGACTTGTTTTATTCTCGTTTAATTTTTCTTTTCTGTTGTTCTTACACCCTTACCAATAATGTGTCCGACATTTATGGGAGATATTTTATGAAAATCTACATAGTTTAAATAACTGATGGAATTAGCGGTTCAATGAACAGCAGGATTGCTTTAAAATATATATTTTTAATTTCTTAATATGGAAGTTAATTACCTGTTCTCTATCTTTGTTTTTGTTCTTTATTTCTTGCTCACTTCAGAGAACCAGAATCCCCAAAAACAAAACCAAGACCAAATGAACTGAAAGATGGTACTCCAAAGAAGCAGAAGCAGTGCAACTGTAAACATTCTCGGTGTCTGAAACTGTAAGTACTTTGACTTTAAATGCTCTTTTGGCATAATGAATTCTTCCGTATTCAGTTTTTTATATGAATTGTAATAAATTTGTTTGATGGTATAAGATATAGAAAGTTAGTTATGCAATAATGCCTTGACCAGGTACTGTGAGTGCTTTGCATCTGGTATATATTGTGATGGGTGCAACTGTGTTAATTGTTATAACAATGTTGAGAATGAAACTGCAAGACGAGATGCTATTGAAGCTACTTTGGAGCGCAATCCAAATGCATTCAGACCAAAAATTGCAAGCAGCCCGCATGGCACACGGGATAAAAGGGTATGCTGTCTGGACTTTTTATTTTAGTTCACATTTTACCTTGATAATTTTGCAAAATATTGGTTCAACAAAAGGGCCATAAACTTTTTTAGCTAACTTTTATCATGGAGATACCAATGTTCATATTGACTCCATTAAAATGTCTATCTACGTAATATTTTTTGTTGCCTTTACTCGTTGATGGATCTTTTGGAATATACATAACCTTTTACATCGGTATTCTATCATTTAAATGTATGGCTACACGTGATTTTTGCAAAGAGTTGATATCTTTTTTTCTGAACTCTATATGGTTAGATTCTTGCAAAGGAAAAGATCCTTTTTCACTACTTAAAATGTAGTGAAACTCTATTCAAGGGTGAGTAATACACTTTCAAGTTTCAATCAAATCTAAGCTTAATATTTATCATTTTCATTTTTCCTTTTTAATTAACCTTTATTTAGCTTCGTTTTAATTTAAAATCATTAAAATTTCTGTAATATATTTAGTTGGAAGTTTATTATTCACCGTTGGGTAAAGTAGTGGAAATTTTCAGTACTTTCTAAGTAGTGTACATAGGATCCTTTCCCTCTTGAAAAATTATATTAACAAAACATAAAATTCAAAGTTTAGCATAAATGTCGTCATTTGAAGCTTGCTGCAATAGGCATTCCCATAGTAATAGTTTTGAGTTATTTTTAGGAAGAGGCTGGGAAAGTTTTAATTGTGGGAAAGCACAACAAAGGATGTCATTGTAAGAAATCTGGGTGCCTTAAAAAGTATTGTGAGTGTTTCCAAGCCAACATTCTTTGCTCCGAAAACTGCAAATGCTTGGACTGCAAAAATTTTGAGGGAAGTGAAGAGAGACAGGCTCTCTTTCATGGTGACCACGCCAACAATATGGCATATATTCAGCAGGCAGCAAATGCTGCCATAACTGGAGCTATTGGGTCCTCTGGTTATGCATCCACTCCGGTGTCTAAAAAGAGAAAAGGCCAGGAACTGTTCTTTGGGTCAACCGCAAGGGATCCATCTGTTTCCAGGCTTGGAAGCTTTCCTCAGGTAAGCGTCTTATCCATGAATATTTATCAACACTTTACTGTGTCCGGTAGTTCTTCTCATGTTTCAATATTTTTGGTTCACTTGTTACCATAAAAGCTTCCACACAATTACTTTTAGTTATACTCTTAGAACTTACATTTGCTACACTTTTTCATTGTTAATCAGCCACATCATATCAGAGCTTCTGCACCCTCCTCTTCCCTGTCTTCTCTACCAGTTTCTCGTGCTACAACAACTGCTGCAGTAGGCCCTTCAAAATTTACATATAGGTAAATGGAGAATCCTGATCAAACAATATTTGTAGTCCGATTGTTCAGGAAACTAACTTAAGCATTTTGGTGGAAGGTCTCTGTTAGCTGATATTATTCAAAAGCAGGACGTGAAGGAGCTTTGCTCTGTTTTGGTAGTTCTATCAGGAGAAGCTGCCAAAACACTGTCAGGTAAATGGGAAATCATTCAAATAACTGGTCTGAACTTGTAGTGTCAAATCCTGTCTCTTTTTAGTGCTTAAACAGTGAGTATTATAATGTATGACGGTCAACTTATACTTGCTTTGCCATTGTGTTCATCTCTAGCAGTTCATAGAAACAAATTTTATATTGTGATGCTTTTTGAAATTTTCTGCTTGTGCTTGTTAAAGAAAGATTCATGGTTCAACTTTTTTCCCCCTTCCTAATGAATAAAGTATATGGTTTTCTTTCAGATGAATACATAATATCAGTGTTAAGGTTAGGCTTCGTTTGTCAACTAATAATGTATTAAAACTGTTTTAAATATCGAAACTGGTGTTGTTTCCATAAATACTCTTGTACATGTAAGAAATTATAGTTGGACACTCAATGCCACTAAAAGAATTCTTGCTTGTCCGTTTTTGAATTTGTTTTAAGCAATAAACTTTTGAGTCAGAATACGTTAATAGATTTGCCACTTCATCTAATGCTCTTCCTTAAATTTCTGTATACATTCAGATCAGAGAATCGTGACCAAAAAGCTGACAGAAGATCTTGCAGAAACTTCCATTGCATCATCCGCTCAAGACAGGCTGCAAAGCCAGAAGGATTCTGATGCCGAGAAAACCATGGTTGATGACTGTTCAAGTGCAAACCAGGCTGATAAAGCTGGCCCTGAAGAATGCAGTTCGGATAGTTCTGATATGCCAAAGGGGCCTATGTCTCCAGGAACTTTGGCCTTGATGTGTGATGAACAAGATACAATGTTCATGGCCATTGCTTCTCCTAATAGGATCATGGCGCAAGGATGCAGCACATCTTCACAATTGCCTCGTGGACAGGGCATGACCGAGATTTATGCAGAGCAGGAAAGAATTGTTTTGACAAAGTTCAGAGATTGTCTCAATAGGCTTATCACTTTCGGGGAGATAAAGGGCAAGTTTCCCTTTCCCTTCTCCAAAAATTTGATTCATTACTAACTAATTATATTGCGCATATAAAAAAGAGACTTAAATTATGAAACAATCACTAACTTTATAATAACAGAGTAATACATATGGAGTGGCAGAATGATGAAGCGAGTGTAGAGTGGCAGAGAGTGGAGAACTTAAATTTATATGTTATCTATTTCATGGTGTATTATCTTTTCCATGAATAAACTATTGGGAATTGACAATGCTGCTCTATTTTGATCACAGAAACACAATGTTCGTCATTAGCAAGAACAGAGATAGGTAGTCAAAGAGGGCCCCAAAGCAATGGCACTGAAATGGCCAGAACTGAGACGGGGAACCAACAAGGATCTGTTACCAATGGAGCTGCGAAAAATGTCAGTCCACCCACAGTCAAGACGATCACCACTGGTGATAATGATATCCCTAGAGGTCCATCCCATCCTGAAAATGGGGATGCTAAATCAAAAACCGAAAAAACAGATGTAAAGATCCTAAATGCCGACAATCAGTCCAAGGTATGATTCTACAGTTTCTCTGAACTATTCCGACCAACCATTCACTACCCACCTTCGGCTTTGATTCAATATCAAAGTGATTGTGGGCATCATTCTTGACCCTGACCGGTGCTCGAATTAATTTCTCCCATGTTTGAATTATTTATCCGTTTTCTGTATCCGTGGCTTGAGCTCATACCATGCCCATTCATCAGTCCATTCTTAATTTTAGCAAAAAGGAAGGAAAAAAACATTGGGGGGGGGGAGGGGAGGATTTTATAATTCTTGATGAAGTTTGTAGCTTAGAATTCTATTCAACATAAATGCCGAGTGCCGCTTTAATCGGTCAAGGTCTTGTAGTATTGATGTTATTTTCCCCAACCATCGATGTTCTTAGATACTACGGCTGCATGTGCATGGTCCTCTTGTTGATGTATATACTTGTATTCTTCAATTATATATATTTTGTACAACGTAAACATACATCAATCATATTATGTATAGATCTTGAAGTTATCAATTAAATTTAATAGCTTAATTAAATTATTATTTTTTATTTCCATTATACACAAGTAAAACTTGTTACAGGTTAAAAAATTGTTTAAATTATCTCTATAGGTATAGGTCAATATGCATCGATGTTGGTTGATATTATTTGTAAGTGGGGAGATGGTTCTTTCAAGTAAAAGAAATTCTTTGATTCTGTGATCACGAATTGTTTGAAACATGCTTAATGACTTTGCTGCATCTACTTATTAAAGCCTCGACTTTGATGATGTAGATGAAGTTGCCACTGCACCCTGCAGATACACAAAAGGATTCATGAAAGTGTGATAAATCTAAACATTATTTTATAACTTTTAAAGAATTCAATAATTAAAATGATTATTTAAATATAATCCAATGACTATTTAGACAAGAAAGGGGTTAAGGCTGTAACCAGTGGGATGCACTTAATGGCTCTTTCCCCTGATACTTTGATGGTTTGTAGAAGTTTCCGTACATCTCTGACCATTCTTGTTGTTGGCTGCTCATCGGTTGCTTTGAATTGTTTAACAATCTCTCACTTGAAGATTGATTTTAATATGTCTTCACACCTCGATCAATGCAACAGCCTTTTTAGTCTTGTTACTCTAGTATGCCAACTGAAGCTGAAAACAACTTCAGTTTGTCCGTAGTCACCGTCTTTGTTAACATGTTTGCCGGATTTTGAGCTCCACTAATCTTTTCAAGTTTCAAAATCCCATCTTCTTGAAGAGACCGGATAAAATGATATCTCAATTGTATATGCTTCGTTCTGGAATGAAAAGACGGATTCTTTGCTAGATGAATAGCACTTTGACTGTCGCAGTACAAGACATTGTTTTCTTGTTTCTTGCCTAACTCTTCCAAGAAACTTTGGAGCTATACCATCTCCTTGCTGGCTTCCGTAACAACGACATATTCTGCTTCAGTTGTGGAGAGAGCAACTATCTTCTGTAGTTAAGAAACCCAACTCACTGCGGTTCCTCCTAGAGTATAGACATACCCTGTAGTGCTCTTTCTGATGTCGACATTTCCGGCTAAGTCAGCATCTATATAGCCTGTCAGTGACGTATCTCCACCTTTGAAATAAAATGTTTTGTTTGTAGTACTCCGCAGATATCTAAGAATCCATTTGACTGCTTCCAGTGTACCTTGCCCGGATTATTCATGTACCTGCTAACAGCTCCCACTGCATGAGCAATATCTGGTCTGGTACAAAACCATGGCATACATCAGACTTCCAATTGTTGAGGTATACGGCACCTTCACCATGTGTGCGTGTTCTTCCTCCGTCTTTGGTGACTGTTCTTTGGAGAGTCTGAAATGAACACCTAAATGTGTACTTACTAGTTTAGCATCTTGTATGTTGAACCTGGAGAGTACTTTGTTGATGTACTCAGCCTGTGATAACATCAAAGTCTCCGACTTTGTGTCTCTCTTGATCCTCATCCCAAGAATCTGCTTTGCAGCGCCCAAATCCTTCATAGCAAACTGCTTCGACAATTTTTGCTTTAAGTTTATAATCTCTTGCATGTCTGAGCCTGCAACGAGCATGTCATCAACGTACAACAATAAAATAATGAAGCCGTTGTCGAACCTCTTGATGTAGCAACAATGATTTGCTTGGCATCTGGTAAAACCACTGCTACTCATGAAGCTGTCGAACTTCTTGTACCACTGTCTAGGAGCTTGTTTTAAACCATACAAGCTCTTCTTCAACCTGCATACCAGGTTTTTCTTGCCTGCCTCTATGAAGCATTCTGGCTGCCTCATATAGATTTCTTCCTCCAAATCACCATGAAGGAAAACTGTCTTTACATCTAACTGCTCAACATGTAGATTTTCTGCAGCTACAATTTTCAACACCAGTCTAATAGTAGACAGTTTCACGACTGGAGAGAAAATTTCATTGTAGTCAATACATTCTTTTTGCTGAAAACCTTTGACAACCAATCTCGCTATGTAATGTTTGCTCTCATCGTGCTCTTCTTTGATCCTGTAAATCCACTTGTTGTGAAGCGCTTTCTTGCTTGGTGGTAATTCAGCTAATTCCCACGTCTGATTTGACATAAGCGAGTCCATCTCATCTTTCATGGAAGACTCCCAGTTGACTGAATCCTCCACTTGCATTGCTTCATCATAGCACTCTGGTTCACCATTGTCAGTCAGCAAAAAAGTAGTGTAAATAAGGAGAATATCGTTGGGTTGGTTTAGGAATTCTTGAGGAGCGTCTTAGTTCCAGTGTGCATGGTTCTTCTTGAACTGCTTCAGGACTGATCTGAACATCATTTCTAGAAATCTCCTTGAACTCAGCAAATTCCTTTGTTTCAGCTTTGGTATTTGAGCTACTTGATTCTACACTTGACCTGTCTTTGTACATCACATTCTCATTGAAAATGACATTTCTGCTTCTGATGATCTTTCGATTTACATAGTCCCAAAACCGGTAACCGAACTCATCACCGCCATAACCAACAAAGGCACATTTGTTGGACTTAGCATCAAGTTTACTTGTTTCAGCAGAGTCTATGTGTACATAAGAAATACAACCAAACACTCTTAAGTGTGAAAGGGTTATTTCTTTCTTGCTCCAAACTTCCTCTGGTATTCTGTCATCCAAAGGAATTGAGGGCCCATGGTTGATCAGGTAAGCTGCAGTGTTGATAGCTTCAGCCCATAAAAATTTGGGTAGTCCGGCATGTATCCTCATGCTTATGGCACGTTCATTCAGAGTTTTGTTCATGCGCTCTGCTACGCCATTCTGATGCGGTGTCATGGTAACTGTTGTCTCCATCTTGATCCCATTGTTTGCGCAGAAATCTCTGAATCTCCTATTTTTGTACTTTCCTCCATTGTCAGACCTCAACCGCTTGACTTTCAGACCAGTCTCATTTTCCACCATGGCCTTCCATTTTCTGAAGGTATAAAAGACTTCTGATTTCTTCTTCAGAAAATAAACCCACACCTTCCTTGTAGAATCATCGATGAAGGTGACATAATATAGTGAGCCTGCAAGAGATGGAACTGGAGATGGTCCCCATACATCAGTATGAACCAACTCTAATTTTTCAGCCTTGGGTGTCTTACCAATCTTTGCAAAGTTGACTTTCTTTTGTTTGCCAAAGATGCAATCCTCGCATAGTCCGACATCTACATTCTTTAGATCCGACAGCTTCCATTTTGACAAAAGTGTCTTCATCCCTTTCTCGCTCATATGACCAAGCCTTTGGTGCCACATGTTTGATTTTCCATCAGCATCTGTTGCAGCAATGATATTCTCTAAATTTGAGGTTACATAGAGAGTACCAGTCTTCTTACCACGAGCAATGACGAGAGCTCCTTTGGTAATCTTCCATTCATAGCCTGAAAAGGTTGTACTATATCATTCTCCATCAAGCTGTCCTACAGAAATCAGATTTCTTTTGAGGCCAGTAATATGTCTTACTCCTTTCAGCGTCCAGGTGGTCTGATTTGGCAACTTTAGTCGGATGTCTCCTTTTCCGACGATCTTCAAGGTTTCATCATCATCTAGATGAACCTTCCCAAAATCACCACTGACATAGTTCTTCATGATTTCTCGGCATGGAGTGGAGTGGAAAGATGCCCCTGAATCCAAGATCCATGATTCAATCGGACTGTTAACGCTTAGAATCATGGCATCACTTGTCTCCTCTGTCACGTTGGTAGATTCATGTGCACCGATATTTTTCTTCGGTGCTCGGTAATCTCTTTTAAAGTGACCCTTCTTGCCGCAGTTATAACAGGTAAAATCTTTCTTCCCCATTCTTGATTTTTCCCTTCTGGATTTGGATCTGCCACGATTTGAACTTCTTTCTGAAGTTCTCCCTCTAGACTTCGTGTGCAAGGCTGAGGAGGTTGATGCTTCATCCGATTCTCTCCGTCGAATTTCTTCTCTCAGTACCAGATCCCGAACATCGTCGAATTTTAATTTGTTGTTTCCCGACGAGGTGCTGACTGCTGTAACAGTAGCATTCCAACTGTCTGGTAGAGATGATAAGATAATTAAAGCTCGAACTTCATCATCGAATTCAATTTCCACTGAACTCAACTGAGTTGTGATTGTGTTGAGTTCATTTAGGTGTTGTGCCATCGATGCCCATTCCGTCATTCTCAAATTGAATAATCGCCTCATCAAATGAACTTTGTTTGAGGCTGAAGGCTTCTCATACATACTGGAGAGAGCCGCCATAAGACCTGTCGTGGTCTTTTCCTTTGCTATGTTGAAAGCAACATTACGGGATAACGTCAGTCGGATAACTCCGAGGGCTTGTCTGTCGAGAAGAGCCCAGTCTTCATTTTTCATACCCTCTGGTTGCTTTCCTGAGAGGGGTTGATATAGATTTTTTTGGTACAAAAAATCTTCAATCTATATCTTTCAAAAGCCAAAGTCCGCACCATGGAACTTTTCAATTTTCACATTCCCTTCGTCTGCAGCCATCGCTCCCACTCGAATCTAGTTTCGTTTGGATTCTTTCTGACAATTCTTGTGAACCACCGTGTATTAAAACACCTCCGTCGACAAATTCGTATAGTCGACAAAATATTTTACTATTCACGGAATTTACTATTCACGTGAACAGTAATGAATAGTAACCTCGCAAAAAAAATTGACAAAATTTACAACCAAAAGCTCTGATTACCAGTTGTTGGGAAATAAACGAGTAACAAGTAATTTCCCTATAGTCAGATTAGTGATAATGCGAAATAAAAACGGAAAAATAATATCCGAAAATTGATAACGGAGTTCAGCCAATTGTGCTTACGTCTCCGGACTACTGCAGATCTTTTACTAAAGAGAAAAAAGATCTGCAGCAGTCCGGAGACGTAAGCACAATTGGCTGAACTCCGTTATCAATTTTCGAGTATTATTTTTCCGTTTTTATTTCGCATTCTCACTAATCTGACTATAAGAAAATTACTTGTTATTCGTTTATTTCCCACCAATAACCAGTGGGATGCACTTAATGGCTCTTCCCCCCGTATACTTTGATGGTTTGTAGAAGCTTCCGTACATCTCTGGCCATTCTTGAAGTCTTTTGTACACATGATTTTCTCCAATTATATCTGCCCAAAACACTATGCCACCACTGCCATAAAAATGACATAATAGCTGTTAAAATTATGCTCTCATTACATAAATCTTGTAATAATGGTACCCCATCTTTGACATATCATTATAGAGGTTAAGGCCGTTGCAATTACCGACGACGACAGGAACTTTCTTTATCACTTTCCCAATTGCCACAAGGTCAAGAACAACTTGTGGGGAAGTTTTTTGTGTACGTACAATCTCCAAAAGAGGCACCACATGGGCAGGGCTGTATATCAAAGAGTCAAATCAACTGGACCAACTAATTATTTATTAAAAAAAGGGAAAATAAATCTGATAACCTGAATAAGCAACACGATCTGGTGATTTTATTTTTTTTCTGCAATTAAACTGTCAATGGTGGATGCGTTTGTTGCCAAAATGCAGTGAGGAGGGCAGGCCTTCTCCATTTCACTAAATATCTTTAAAGGAACATTTTCAATGACAGCCTGCAAAGGGGAACAACATTAGATATATTTCATTGCATATACTGAACGAAGTTGCAAGTAGAGGATTGACAAATTATGAGAAAAGACAAGCTAACATAGTTCACCTCAACGACCATGTCTACATCTTTAAATTCAGAGTAATCCAAAACTCCTTTAAGCATCGAGAGTGCTTTTTCTGCCTTTCCTTTGTCAATTTTCCTCTCTTAACTAAGGCTCGAACATTTGCTGCCAACAGAAAAAAAAATTGATAGTATCACATCTTGAATTTGAATGCCTTTTCACTGGCTATCAAGAGAATGAGAGCAGTAATAATCACCTTGAATCATTTTTATTCCCTTCTGGAGATATTCAGAGTTAACTTCCTTGACAAGGACAAATATATTGCTCACGATAAGAGCCGTCGCAATTTCCGATCCCATTTGGCCTCCACCGATAACGGCAACTTTCTTTATTTGCCTAGGTTTTAGACCAAGGTCGGTAACATTTGACACCTGCAAAAGTAAAACTTCAGAGTAAAAAATACAATGGAAGATCTCAATTGGTTGTGATAATTCAATAATGTACTCCAGGTATCAGCAATTACCTTTGATGTAGCGCGCTGCGCAAGGAACGTGTGGACAAGACCTTTTGCAGTGTCTTGAAGGACCAACTCCTTAAAAACTTTGACCTCCTGCATGAACAGATAGCAAACAGAGTCTTTAGGTGCAACTATATAGTGATTCTTATGATATTGGACATTATCATAGATATGATTAAATGCAAGGGATCCTTAAAAAAACTACCTTTAAAATTCCAGTATATCCCCCATGGACAATCCCCTCCTCGATTACATCTAGGCAGGCCTGGTGCTGAGGCAAAATTGGGGCAGTCCTTTTGGCTTGCTGTCTTGCAATTTTTATCACTTCCTTTACTTCAGAGAGGGATCCGATCTTGTCTGTTATGTGAAGAGATAGCACCCACGGTTTACACTTCTCGGCAATGTCTAACACCCACCTGCGAGAAACTTTCAGCAACTCTTCAGAAGGGACAATAGCATCAATAAGACCCAGCTTCTTCCCTTCTTCGGATGTGATTGGTTTCGATGTCTGCAATGGCATTATACATATATTGATGAATAGGATCGATAACAATGGAGAAGGATCACAGACGGCGAGTATATTACCAGCATGATTTCAATAGCCTTCGGTAGCCCTATGAGCCTCGGAAGACGTTGTGTGCCTTTCGAAAGTGCCATAGTATAACAGATCAGTCAACGCTTGTGTTGTGAAGTTGGTTATCATTTCAAACACGAAACAATTGCACACTTGAACATGTTTATTTTCTCTAAAATATGCTAGTGGACATACCTCCAAGCCCAGGTATCACTCCAAGTGACAATTCTGGCAAGCCAAGTAGAGCTTTAGGGACAGCAATACGTGCATGGAAAGCCTGCATAAGAATAGCAAGGATTAAACAACTGAGCAAATTAACAATCAGATTCATCAATGGAGGGGAAAAGAAACAAACAATAGCCAACTCTAAGCCGCCGCCGAGAGCTAATCCTTCAACAGCTACCACAACAGGCTTCTTGCATTCTGGGAGGATTTGAAGAAATAAGATGAGAGCCATAAACAACATTGAGAAATGAACATGTACAATAAGTAAAAGGATGGGGAAAGACCTTCAATAGCATTAAGCACAAGAGCAACGGACACATCAGGCGCCGCCACAGATGCATCACCTGTTTCGTGGACTTTCCGGAAAACATTGATATCAAAACCACCAGAAAACTTTCCTCCTTTGCCTTCAATAACAGAACCAAAAAAGAACATAAAAATCAGCACAAAAAATAACACTGCAAGCGTAAAACATTGATTCGATTGAAATGAGAACTCACCAGTTAAAACAACAGCTTTGACATCGTTTCTCCTCGAAGCCTCATCAAATTTCTCCATCAATCCCGCAATCACTGCAACAGTTGAAAAAGAAACGGACAAATCAAATCACCACATGAAAAATGGAGAACTAAAAGCTTGCAGAGGTTTACCGGGAATAGCCAAGGCGTTGACGGGAGGATTGAAGATGGTGACAACTGCAACGGCGTCGATGACGACGTCCATGGTCACTGGTTTCTGCGACATCGCTCACTCCTTAAACTGTATTTGTTGTCTTGGTTTTCACTATCGATTTTTCCAACGAAGATGCTAATGTTACTTCGAGGAACAATATACTTAAAGATTGTTTGATACAATAATATATATATATACTTTGTGCGGGTGATTTGATCGAGTGAATCTCCAAAACAGCAGTAGCATAGGTTTCATTTTGTTTGAAAGTCACAAGTACGCGTGTTGACAAAACAATATTGAATTTATCGATAGGCCACCCTATATGTTTCGGTTCGGCCATCCACTGACAAAATGTCAAGTTCACAATCAAACTGTATACATTAAGAATTTTTTTTTTGATAATCAACACTGTATTGATACATGTATTGGTTTGTATCGGTTTTAAATCGATATCAAATAATTTAAATTTCATTCTAGTTAAATTTGGTATATATTTCGATTAATAGCTATTTCTATTAGTGCAAATAGATTTTATTGATTAATAAAATATAATATTAGTTCAGTTTTTATTTATTTATTGATAATGTATTATGTGTCGCATTATCATTCTATAGATGACAGTTAAAATTAATCAGAGAAATGATTAGGTTATTTGCTAGATAAACCATCGTCTCAATCACAACTATTTTATCGATAAATTTTAGAGATTGTTACCTCTCGTTATACTAGTTTTTCTTTATCATTTATTTATTTTTTCTCTGAATTTTCTCTCTGTATGCTCACATGATGTAGACATAACTGTTTCAACTCGAATAACTTAGAGAGAACAATATCCTCTTTGTAGACATAACTGTTTCAACTCGAATAACTTAGAGAGAACAATATCCTCTTTTACTATTTAGGTCAATCAATAAAATATGTTATTGAAATGTCTTTGTACTACATATAATATACATGAAATATGATAACTTTAAACTCGTACTCTAAAATTGACGGGATTTAACTTGATATAGAATTATTTTTTAAAAATAATTAAGTTCGAATCATACTAGATCAAAATTTTGAATAAAATTAAAATTTAGATGGAAAATATTGTACTTGAATCATTTAAGAAGAATATATTGATACTGAATTTAAGTGTGAATTTATAAAATAAGCTAGTTTTTAATTCGAGACCATATCATAAAGACAAAGAAAGGTGTCCTAACGACCACACATGGTCTCCTTTACTTTCACCACTATGCAACAACAGCAAAGCCACTGCCTTTCCATCGCGCTCTGTAAGAACCCTTCACCTTTCACTGCTTTCAACTTCCATTGCTTCTCTCATTTCCTTTACCCCTCCACTCCCAAACACGAAATTTCTCAAATTTTTGTAGATAGAAGAACACACGCTAGAGCAGTTAGACACCACTTTAATGCAAAGTTATCCACAAAAGGCCATGAAGCCTCAAGAAAGTTTACAAATTTCAATACTAGGAAAGAAACTGGTTCTGGGTTTAGTTCTTCAAGGTCTAGAAATGGTGGAGGTGAAATAAACAACTTGGAGAACATTTTCAGTTCTGTCTTGGAAGGGAAGGCTGAGAACAAGAGGCTTTTAAAGGATAAGGTTGCAAGAAAAATGGGTTCTCGGAGTTCTTCACTGAAGTCTAAGAAAGATAAGGTTAATTCTCCTTCAGTGAACTTGAGGGGTCAATTGGATATGTGTTCAAAGAGAGGGGATGTGATGGGTGCAATTCAGCTGTATGATAAAGCTTTGAAAGAAGGAATTACAATGGGGCAGTATCATTATGCTGTGCTTTTGTATCTTTGCTCTTCTGCGGCTGTGGGCTTTGTTCAACCTGCTAAAAGTGGTACTGGTAATCGACCTTTGAATATGTTACAAATTTCGAATGATATTGGGAATTCTATTTCTTCTGAATTGGCTGTTCGTGGTAGAAGAAGTTTTGATCATATAGACAGTAGTTTCTTCGAGAAGAACTTGAATCGGTTTTCGAAAGGGTCTGCAAAGCCTTATTCTCAACTTTCAGAAGGTCCTAGTTGTCAAGAAGATGATGAAATTTGGGTAAGTGAAGATGTCAAGAAGTATGCACTTGTTAAGGGATTTGAGATCTACGAAAAGATGCGTTCGGATAATGTCCCGATGAATGAGGCGACGTTGACGGCTGTGGCAAGAATGGCAATGTCAATGGGAAATGGTGACATGGCATTTGATATGGTGAAGAAAATGAAGCCGCTGGGTATAAATCCTAAATTGCGGTCTTATGGTCCTGCTCTCTCTGTTTTTTGCAGTACCGGAGACGTCGACAAAGCTTTCGAAGTTGAGAAACACATGTTGGAGGATGGCGTTCAGCCAGAAGAGCCTGAACTGGAGGCACTCTTAAGAGTTAGCGTAGGAGCCGGAAAAGGTGACAAAGTGTACTATTTACTGCATAAATTAAGAACAAGTGTGAGAAAAGTGTCGCCTTCTACCGCTGATGTAATCGTTAAATGGTTTGAGAGCAAAGCAGCTTCGAGAGTAGGGAAGCGAAAAATAGATAAGAGATTAATAAAGGTGGCAATTGAAAATGGAGGCGGAGGCTGGCATGGGCAGGGCTGGTTGGGTAAAGGAAAGTGGAGTATTTCACATACAGTTGTTGGAGCCGATGCCTTATGTAAATGTTGTGGGGAAAAGCTGGCTTTAATAGATCTCGATCCTGTAGAAACAGAGAAGTTTGCTGAATCAGTTGCATCTATAGCTATAAAAAGAGAGAAGAACTTCAGTTTTCAAAAGTTTCAAGTATGAAAAGTGTATTGATGTATTTTTCAATCACTACAATCATGTACATAATTTTTGATTAATTGTTAAATTAACATTTTGGCAGAAATGGCTCGACTACTATGGACCATTTGAAGCTGTGGTTGATGCAGCTAATGTAGGTCTTTTCAGCCAGAAAAGATTCATGCCATCAAAGGTTAGTTTGGCTAAAATGAAGAGGATTAACTATAGCTTCACCACATTGCTTTCTTTTGCTTTTTCATGATTGCTTCTCTTATGATAAATTCTTAGGTCAATGCTGTTGTTAACGCAATACGACAGAAACTACCATCAAGGAGATGGCCACTCATTGTTTTGCATAACAGACGGATCACTGGACGGAAAATGGATGAACCAGTAAATAAAGCAATAATCGAGAAGTGGAAAAATGCTGATGCTCTATATGCAACTCCAACTGGATCCAATGATGATTGGTAGGAAATTACGCTCACAAGTTACAGCTTACCTACATAATTGCATAATTCTTATAAAAAAAAAACTTTTGACATTACAGTTTTGGTTTCATCTGATTGAATTTTCCAATTCACATGCGTTTAAAGCCAAGGGTAATACCTGTGCTTCAGGTACTGGTTGTATGCAGCTATAAAGTTCAAGTGCTTAATTGTTACTAATGACGAGATGAGAGACCATACATTTCAACTTTTGGGAAATGACTTCTTTCCGAAATGGAAAGAAAGGCATCAAGTAAGTAAAGCTCCCAGAATTCATGGACTTCCAACTAGTTGATAAACTTTGTAATGGATATGCTCAGTTTCTCAGTATGATACTCTAAAGCGGTTTTCTTAACAAGGAATCCATATTTTTCTGCATCTAAGGTGCATTTCAGTTTCTCAAATGCTGGTCCAGTATTTCACATGCCTCCTCCATGTTCTGTCGTAATTCAGGTAAGTTCCTACGAACTTTTGTATAAAATGTAAGTGCATAAACTGACAGAATATAGCTATAATGTGTGCTGAATTGATCTTCCTAACGGAATACATGTGAACAGGAATCAGATAAAGGCCACTGGCATATTCCCATTGCATCTGAACTTGATTATGATTCTGAAAGAACATGGTTATGCATTAGACGAGCTAACTCACTTGTCGTGAAGGAAGATTCCGCTACCCTAACTGAAGGCAAGACCAAACTTAGTTCATCAATGGTTCTTCACAAATTGCTAATATTGTGTTCTGTTATTCTATTTGAATAAAGTTTTTTTCTGAGATTTACATAGTATTCGCATAGTAGTAGCATGCATGCAATTTGCATCTCTTTCGGATGCACCGAGAAAGGCAAGTTAGTTCAATCACCTGTTTGACTTAAATTGATGATGTGCTTAGGAAGGTTGAAACCGATTTGCCTTTATTGTGACCTATTGATATGTTTACACACAGGGTTTTCTTGTGTGACAGATTCACAGCCTCTTAATGATAAGGAACATGCAAAGACAACCACTCAAACCAAAGTCAATTCAAACTCCCCTCCACTAAATGATGGCAATTATGATAAACTGGAAAAGCTTGCTGAGGAAATATACAAAAACATCACTGATATTTCATTTGCTTCCGTTTGCTCAGATCAGTACACAGTTCTATCAGAAATAGAGGCCGCAGAGAATCTTGGCAACTGTGTAATTGACTTTCAAATATGAGACAAGTGGCATTCATGTAAAGTTGTGGAAATTGTAATGAACTATCATTTGGAATCCCCTCGTAATTGTATAGTTTCAAAGCTCCTGAGCTGAGTTTATATCGCTGCATTTTGTACTTAGCGAGGTTTTTGCCCATTGAAGGGCATTTCTTTCTAGAGAGAAAGGAATAAGGTTGGAATTTCTTCATATGAAGGTGTAACTTTTCGGTTTTTTTTTTTAATTTGAGGAAATCATTCAGTTCATTTTTTTCTAAGAGTAGGTTGCGCTGAAGATATCTGTTGTGAACAATTTGCTCACAAGCTTGCTCTAACCAGATTTAAGTGGAACCTGAGTATGCCAAGACATCACCATCATATTCACCTCTTTTGATTATGCTTATAACTGGCTAGTTTCCTTGTGCAGCAAGTTATTATTCTATATGTTAATTTGCTCTTTCTTTCTCCGAATAGTATAGCAACAATAGCAATTGTTGAGAAATAGAATGGAGACCAGAGGTACAATGATTACAATCAACTCTCTTCATCTGCAAAACATTACAGTGATAAATGTATGTATGAATATGTACAAATTAGCTTGATCCTCCATGGTCCCTAACCAATTTCTCTATTATTGCTGGTTGCAGGGCGTCCAATATTAGAGCAGATAATTTGACACAACGGTTACTAGAGATGAAGACAGCCAGAAAGCAGTTCCCAAATACATCAAATGTTAAATGAGTCACATAATCGCTTCCCTGTCCAAATTCGGAAGGAAGAACAACACTAAGATCTAGAAATTAGATACATGAGGTAAGCTTTTTTTTCTAACCTTATATAAATATAATCTTCGTCTCGCATTTATTGCATAACTGTCGCTCTTTCTATTCTCTCTTGTTTCCCTTCAATCTATCAATCACAAGAACTAGGATTTCTTAGCACACAGCTTTCAAGCTTCTCTAGATGGTGAGATATCTTTGGGGTTGGCTTGGAAGTTTTTTTGTCATTATCTCCCTTGTAGTAGATTTCTAGATCAGTTGAATTTCTCCTTCTGGAAGCAATGCCCCAACCCATGAAATCCGAGAGTGTCGGTGCGTCTGCAGCACTCTTCGCCATTGCGTCTTCATCAGAGGAGATAGAGGACCCCTCAGATCTTTCCGGTGATGATATTTGAGAAAGGCTATCAGCATGAAGGACATCCTCGATTCTCGACATGACATTGAACGCCAAGCTCTCTAGAATCCTTGAATAGCTCTCCAGGATAGCGTGACCTACATCCTGTGAAATTGAATTCCAAGTTAGTTTATCAAACTTTAAGGCATTTAGGAAAAGATAAAAATGAAACCGAAATTCTTTGCTTGCTTTACCCTATTATATTGGATCTTAGATATATCAAGTGCAGATTGTGGAAGTCCCGGGAAACGCTGCTTTAACATGATTAATATAGTCTCGGCCCTCTCTTCGAAGAGTTCCCTCTTTTCCAAGCTGACACCTGAACCCCAAGACGATCTTCCATCTTTATGGTGCAACTTCCTCATCCAAATGATAATGGAGGCCTCAATCCTATTCTTAAGGTCTAAAACTTTGTGCTCTGTTGACAAGTCCATGGTTGCAAGGAATTGCGATGGATCAAAGTACTCCACCGTAATGCCTTTATAGATTGAATCGCCGAGGCTTGATCTTCCGTTCTACTTAGACATGATGGGGAAGAATTATAAAGGTAACTGAAAATATAATAAAAGAATTCATAATCAGTTGATGGGGAGTTTTTATTTCTTTACCCTGGGGAGGGAATCAATGTAGCTTTCGGGAACCTCCATTTCAGATAGGACTTCAGCGTTGATGGCCATAGCTGCTTTTAGAACCTGATTAACCGATTCCTTTTGAGACTGCAGCCACCTTCGTGATGCTTCCGATAAGCCTCTTTCAGGTACCTTAACAGTCGGATGCCACCATTTGTCATCCCCATGCCCGTTTTCATTCTCTTGATCTTCATTTTTGGACACATACCAAAATTCTTGTTCTTCTCCAAAGCTGTCAAGAGTCTCCTGTTTTCATTATAAATTTGATCAATCTTTGATTTATTATGAAATGATCTTTCCCAGGTTAAAAACTAGGAGGAGAAAGTTACAATAAGCATGGTGTCGAGTTTGCGTAGGCCAGGTATATTCACGAGCAGATCGCTCCTTTGTCTAGTGACCATAATCTATCAAGTTTGAAATAAAGTGTTAGGTGTTCATATGGTTAAATGGTAGTAATAGTTCAGTTTGAGCAATTGTGATATTATTTCGGATAGAGATATGTTACCTCCATGTTTGCTCCGTTCTTTGTTTTCTGTTGTGAAGGAACGAATTCGACGATGTGGTCGGTAACCGATAGAAGCCAATCCATTTCTTTTCTCCACCTTGCTTTCGTTTCCGGAGCCATAGGTCCTAATTTTACTTGTTCTCCGAAAACAGATGCTGCATTATCATTGACCAACAAGCTCAAAACATGACAAGATTTTTCATCATGGAGACGTAAAGGAAAAGCTAGAAGATCGGTGAGATCTATCCTAAAATTTCTGGATTTCGGGGTTTCCTTTCGTATTTTAATTTCTGAATGAAAACTTGTGCATATGATTATTCGATTTTAGATAGGAATATTGTACCTGCTAGGTTTGTTAATGCATTTGACAAAGCCAAAGCTGAAGAAACACCCTTTCCTCCTCCTGACATATCTTCACCCAAAAGCAACTTACCAAACTTTTCCTTCATCATATCCGTATCTATATCGGTGAGATCTATCCTAAAATTTCTGGATTTCGGGGTTTCCTTTCGTATTTTAATTTCTGAATGAAAACTTGTGCATATGATTATTCGATTTTAGATAGGAATATTGTACCTGCTAGGTTTGTTAATGCATTTGACAAAGCCAAAGCTGAAGAAACACCCTTTCCTCCTCCTGACATATCTTCACCCAAAAGCAACTTACCAAACTTTTCCTTCATCATATCCGTATCTATATCAAACCCGAATATATACATGAATATCATTATCAAGAAGATGAATCTCGAGTGTGTTTGGTAGGAAAGAAAATTACGAAAACATGAATTGCAACATTAAAAAATACCGAACTGTGCACCTGATGGTGGCCTCTCCGGAGGAGTTCCTGGCCAACAATCTCCTATATGTTGGCAATGAACTGTTTTTTCTCGCAGGTTATAATCGACATCATCTGCATGATCATTAGCACACGTGATCGAATTTTGCGGTTGCTGGTGCCACCCTGGACTGTCGAGCATTCTCATAATGCGGAAAGATCCCGAGTTGTGGGTGCTGTACCGACGAGTCAATGCCCGAACCATTGTTCAATCGTCAAGTAAGCTTCTTTTCTCAGACTGTGTTTCTTCTTCTTTGTTTTATTTTTCGCAGCAAAAAATTGAAGAAGAAACAAATCCGAAAACGATTATAAATAAGAAACAAAGCTACCCTCGTTCGGTTTGGGGAAACTACTCCATTGAAACGAGAGGCTGGCAATTGAAACCAACGGGATGTATTAGTTGTCTTCTGTACTGAAGAGATAAACCTTTCTAGTGGTTGCTAAAAATGGTCGTTTGTTAAAGACAGGGCAAATCTTTGCCCAAAATATCCGGGAAGAACATTCAAAGTTTTAACTGCTTTAACTGAATTCTCTCCTTTTTCCCGCTATGCCTGCAACTCCACTTTTACCTCTTACAGCAGCCCCATTGTAGTTGGAGTTTTGTTCAATTAACTGCCGTGGCTCGTTACTCGGAAATAGGGATGGCAATAAGTAGGCATGTAAACGAACTGAACGTTCAGTGAACCGTTCGACCGGAAGTTCGTTTATTTATTAAACGAACATTATGTTCGTTTAATTAAATGAACGAACACGAACAAATGGCTCGGTCATTCATTTATGTTCGTGAACGTGAACGTTCGGTAATCCGTTTGTTTATGTTCGTTCATAATCGAACATAATTTAATACCAATCCATTGCTATTTTCTCCTTAAACTCTGATTTCAGAAACATTCTTGATTGATGGAAGAGATCAAATATCCATCCCTACCTTCATTTGTCATCAATGTTGGTCCTCAATATTCCCTTCTACCGAACATTGTTTACTTTTGACCAAATCTGCCAAGAATTAATGTCCAAACCTTAAAGATTGTAAATTAATTACACATATCAGATCAGTTCCAGAAATTAGAGACATTAGCCCGAGTAGCCATTGCCCGTACCGACCGTCTTTTTTCTGAAAATTAAAGGCTAAATTATGGTTTTGGTCCTTCTGTTATATTTAAATTAGAAATTTAATCATTTTACTTTAATTTGATATATACCGACTTTTTTCTATTATAAATATTATTTATCAGTCTAAATGGTTAACATAATTAATTATTATGAAGGAAAAGAAAATAATAGAAAGCATAAAATTAAAAGAATATATTAAAATTACTATAAAGATCCTTATACTATAATGAAGATTATGTTTGATTTTTATACTTTTAAAATGAGCAAAAAGCTTCATACTTTATTCATTAGTTTAATTCGAGTGCTTTTAGGCTACATCAAGTTATGTGAACATGTCATGTTATGTTCTTAATTAATGTCATATCATTTAATTAAGTCTATTTTATTTTCTTATTTTAAGATTAGAGGATCAAAATCTAATCCATACTATATAGTACAAGGACTAGTAGAGTGCTTTTCCCAAAGAAATTACCTTTCTCTAGGCTGAGCAGGGAGATTCCAAGTTAATAAGAAAGGTTTTGAAATTCAAAGCATTAACCTTTACACGTGCACCAGCCATAAGAAAGGTGAGAAACAAGGATTCAATACCAGAAAAAATATTGCAGGAGCCTTATGACTGCATTTATACTCAGTTTTGAGCTTTTCTGGTTTTGACCTACTTTAATGCAAATTTTATATAAATAAATGTTATATATAGACTAAAATTTTAATTAATTTTTAGCGTTAATTTTAATAATTAAAGATTATTTGGTCACTAAGTTTATTTATATAAGAATTTTTATCCAATAAAAACTCTTAATGACCAAGTTTATTTTCCATATATTTATAGAATAGGTCTTTAACCTTTAGAGTTATGAGAAAAAAATATTTTGAAGAGATATAATCCATTTGTGATGTATATAATTTTTTAGGTTTATGTTGTATGAATGAGCTTTTATAAGGATGTTGAAAGAGATTTTTGAGATATATCGAATATATATATATATATATTAGGTTATGAGATGTATACTTTTATTTTGTACTATTTATAATCTCCATATTACCGAAAAAGAAAGTATAGTATTACTAAATCTTATTATTTATATGTCTTATTTCATATATATATATATATATATAATTCATGAATGCTTCCTTGAAATACATTATGATGTAGTCTACCACTTGAACATAACTATTTGCAGCAGCAGCACAGTGTATTACATATCTCTGCTGAACCATGAATCACTGTCGCTGATTTACGATGAAACTGTTTCTGGTACGGCCGACCTAGTGGCCCGGCTGCGATTTCTCCTACTCCCAGACTCGTGTTATCTTTATAATGATATTAAGAATATGGACATTTCCATTGTGACCGTCGGTTATGAAATTTCACTATGATTTTTCCGGAGAGTCCTTGAATAAAAATTTGAGGACGACAGTCGGTGAAGATCCACACCTCTAATTTAAACAAATAAAGAGTCGTTAAATCGTGACTGTGATCGGAGATGAACTCCAGCCAAGTTCCTCTTATGAGAAATGAGTCGAGAATAGATTGAATCCCAAAGACCCTAGAGAGAGAATGTTTTCCCTCTTGCAAGAGAGAGGAAGCCTTTTGTATACTCTTGTCATTGATGTCATACGGCGGTAGGGCTGAAAATCAACAAAGCCTTCAATCAATTGTTAGTGAGCACTTCGTGTACGTCTTATTTAAATAAATGAGTGCAAGCAAAACAGAAATTTTATATTTATTTAATATAAAAATACTCAAAATCATTCGATAATAAACACTCTAATACTCTACAATCATTAGTGCTCGAATTTGAGACTTCACGGAAACGAATAAAGGTGTGTCTGATTCATTTATATTTATGAAAAAATCATTTATTGACTCATTTATAAACTCGTTTATTGACTCGTTTACTTAAATATTGGTGAAGATATGAATTAAATTGAACATACGGTGAACTTTAGAGTTTAAATTATAAATCCCAAGGAACTTAAGAACGTTCCTTTTTTTGGCTTACAAATTAAGTGAGAAAAAGAGACATTAAATGAACATATTCAATATCATTCACGTGAGATGAAACCAGTGGTTAAAATATTGAAATTAAAGCTTTCTTTCATCAATATCAATCAATGGTCAGCTAATAAATACAAATCACAATGATATTTTCAACAACAAATCAAATAATCCAAAAGTGACTATCCATTATTTACTTGCGTGTAAATAACTAATACGTGTAAAATAAACTCTGGAATTTGGACAGGAATGTGACCTTTACAAGGAAGATTACGTATACCAAGGTCAAGATGTTGGGTTTCCACTATCATTTTGCTTGTTCTTCTTCATCCTTCCCATCTCCATTTAACGGGTGGTTTGCCCTTCATTGCTTGAGCCCGAAGGGTATAAACCGTACTCGCTAGTAGGCTCACTGTACTCGTTACTAGCGCCATATTCCTGCGACCCTAATGCCCTCCTGAAATTTTTCATGTCTTCGTTGTACTGGCTTGCATCAAAGTCCGAGCTTCCGTACGAGCTGTACACGTTGCTCTGTCCTGGTCTCATTCCTTCGTTGAGATCCGACAATGATGATTCTCCTTCTAAAGCACGCACGATCTGCTTGGTTTCGAGTTTATGGTCAGAATCAAATCATAAGGGGGACAAAAAAAAACTCATGAACCATCAGTTAATACCAACTTGACACGTACCTGGCTCATTCGTGGTCGACGTCGTGCTGAATGTCGCACACAGGCAGCAGCGCAAGCGACCATACGAGCCATCTCGTTTTTGTTATATTCCTTTTGTAACTTCGGATCGACCAGACTGTCAAAGTTCCCATCCTCCAATGCTCTTGAGAGCAAAGGCCTAGCCTACAATACCGAAGCAGGTTTGGTTTACTTAATAAAAAGATTCTAGAAAGCTTAAATATACGCTTCTGCAGCTGCAACTTGTCCCAGGCCATTATAAACCAAAGTAATAACTAACCCATTCGACCAAACTGTCTTCCGAGTAAGAAGAGCCAACCGGTTTGTGCCCACTAATCAATTCCAGAAGCATGACTCCATAAGAGAAAACGTCTGATTTTTCCGTGAGTTTTCCACTCGAAGCATACTCAGGAGCCAAATACCTGGAGAAAGTGAGAATTAAGTGAATAAAACCGACTAACAAATCTTTTTAATACTTATCGTACGCACCAAGCAACATCAATGCATAAAATATTATTACCCAAAAGTACCCATTACTCTGGTGGAGACATGAGTGTTGACATCGGAAAAGAATTTCGCTAGTCCAAAATCGGCAACCTAAAAGCAGAATTTTATGAAAATCTCAATGGCAATGTAGCAAGTGGAAAAAAAAACATATATGTTTGGTGACCAAATGAAGCAAGGCAGTACACAGGTTCAATTTTAGCAATGTCAAGAAATCAAAATGAAACCAATACCTTTGCCTCAAACTTGAAATCTAAAAGAATATTAGCCGCCTTAATATCACGATGAATGATCTTTGGATTACCTGAAAACAATGATGATGGTTACCAAAAGTAAGAAATTGAGATCCTACATCTAGACCAAGTATGCAGGGGAGAAAATCAGAGAGCATACAATCCTCATGAAGATAAGCCAGTCCTTTTGCGGATCCTAAAGCAATTCTCATCCTGATTGGCCAGTCCAATGTAGGTCGCCCTTTTCCTGCAGTTAGCATCCAATATTCAGATCAGTTTACAATAAGAATCAAATATCCTTTAGCATCCACGATACACCGAAGACAATCTTACCATGCAAGTGAAACTCCAAAGTGTTGTTTGGAACAAACTCGTAAACAAGCATTCGGGTAGCCCCGGAGATACAGTATCCAACCAATGAAACAAGATGTTTGTGATGAACACGGCTGATAATCTCGACTTCTGCCTTAAATTCTCTCTCCCCCTGTCCACTTCCAGCCTTCAGTTGCTTGACCGCCACTTCCTTCCCGTCTGGAAGAATACCTTTGTGAACATACCCAAAACCACCTTGCCCGAGAAGGTTTGCATCAGAGAAGCCATTTGTCGCCCTTGCTAATTCCTCATAAGTAAATTTGCTCTTCGAGAAACCAAGTGCAAGACGAGGAGATGGTGGTTGGGCAGGGTTATCAGAGCCAGAACCTCCACTACTGCTCATGAAAGGTGGTGGTGGTGGAGGTGGCATTGGTAGCGTAGAAGAGCTTTCTGAAGATGGAGGTCCCCATGCCGTGACCGGTGGAGGAGTTGGATTAGGAGGAACTGCACCATAATGATCGAAATGCAGGGAAGGATTTTGTTGCCACCGGTACTGCTGGCCACCATGATTATCTGGAAGTAAAAATCAACAAGCTCCATGAATGATGGTTAAAAGGCAAGAAACTAAGATATCGCCCAAATTCTTTAACAATTGTGCGTATGCTTATATGAATCACAAACAGCCAAGTAAAGATAAAATCTCCAAACTCAGTCAAAATTGAAATTCAATTGAGAATAACAATGAGCTCAAAGGACGTAGTGTGAACAAAAGCAAGTGTTTAATCCGTCAAAAAATTTATCATGGGAAAGCTTAAGTGAAAAGCATATGCAGAGTTATCCATCTTCCCAATGATCTAACAAAATATATAATTATATTAATAAAATATGCATAAATGATTCCATTTTTATGACCTTTAGGAGGGCCAGGAGGTGGAGGAGGCACGTAGTAACTTTCGTCGTCTCTTCTTCTCCTTCTCTTCTTTTGGCAACATATAAACAGCAAACTCAAAACCAATAATACCGCAACTCCCCCGATTGATATCCCCACTACAAGCCCGGTGGAGATCCCACTGCTCGAATCGGAAGAAGCCGGCGTCGTCGGAGGAGATGGAGTTCCTGAATTCCTAGGAGGTGGTGGCGATGGAGTCCTTGGACTTCTTGGGGCAGGTGGCGATGGAGTTGTTGTAGATGGAGGTGGAAGGGAAGGATTGGATGATGATGGGGGCGGAGATTCCGCTTCTGGTGGAGGAGGGGAGGTGGATGATGTAGGCGGAGGTGATGAAGTAGAGGGAGGAGGACGGGACGGAGTGGTGCTTGAAGGCGGAGGAGCTGATGGGGTAGCTGGAGGGGGAGATGGAGTAGCAGGTGGTGGGGAGGGAGTAGTAGTTGGCGGCGGAGCTGCAGCGGCTGGTGGTGTTGTGGAGGGAGTGGTGGTTGGAGGCGGTGTTGCTGCTGTTGGTGGGGGTGTGGAAGGAGTGCTAGTTGGCGGCGGAGCTAAGGCTACCGGTGAGGGTGGGGGAGTAGAGTTGGTTGATGGTGGTGGCGATGATGGAGCCAGAGTAGCCCCCGGTGACGGTGATGACATTTTTTATTCTTTAAGACAAAAGAAAGGCTAATAAAAATATATCAAAAACTTTTCTGCGTGTTGGATTGAAAAGGGGGAATGTTTGGAAAGAATTTAAGAAAGAGAGAAAATATGCGGGAAATTGGGTTAACGTCGAGAAAAAAAATAAACTATATTTTTGTCACTAAACTATGAGGTGAATTTTATTATGATCATTGAATAAAATACTTTTACTAAATAGGTCACTAGAATTTCATTTTTGAATTTAATCAAGCGTTAATTCAGTAACGACGAAGTTGAAGTGATAGTTTTAAAATTTATTTAATAATACGTTTGTTCTTTTATATTCAGAATAAAATCAACCTTATAGTTTAAATAATACATACATAAATGTATAATTTTGACTAAATAGATATATGAAGTAGTAATTATACAAAATCTGAGACATATGAGGTGGGAATTATACAAAATCCTTTTCCATTAGTGATTGACACGCGCTTTTGATTAAATAAGTTATCTTTACATTGTCTATTTAACAATGGCTTCGGCATTAGAAGCTTCTATCCACATTTGTCAATGTTGAAATCTTCTTATATTTGACCAACGATATTCAATTATATATCACTCGTCAATACATTAACGGTTCCTGTTCGGCTTGATGGTTACTCTTTTTCTTCCGCATAGGTTTGGATAAGTTTTTTAACGAAAGTTGATCTTTGTCTATTGTTTTAGTATGTTACGTTTTTTCAAGTTAATAACATACAAGACGCTCCATTCGAAAAAAAATGGATCAAAATTAAGTTCAAACAATTTACCAATTAAAGGAACCAAATTGGTCCAATTTGGATGGAGTCAAATACAATTAGAGATGATGAATTTACATAATAATATTTTATTATTTAAATTTTATTTAATTTTTTGATTAGTCAAATTTAATATATATATATGCGTGTTCCAATTTTTATTCAAATTCAATATATTTGTTAAGATTTTTATTTAAATTTAATTATAATTACTTGTATATTATGATATTGATTCATTTCAGATTAAAATGACATGATTTACTTATATATTTCTTCATATCTTTTTTCACATGTGTTTAAATTTCATAATGTCATTAATAAATTATCGTCTATATTTGTTTAATATGGTTCTATTGTTATTTTTTAAAAGGAACAATAAATTTTAAAAATAATATATTGATAGAAGTATAAAAGAGTTATTGATGAAAAATATTGTAAAGAGTTACGGTAAGATGAATAAATTAAATAAAATATAAAATTATAAGATTAAATTGAAAAAAAGATATAATATATTATCAAAAAGATACATTAAAACTAATGATCTATTTTATAAGGCTGAGAAGTATATGGTTTAACTTCAGTTAAAATAAATTTAAGATAAATAAAAAATTGAAGAAATAAAATAATCAACTATCAAATTACTTAAATCAAATTTTTTTAATTAAATATCTATTTTATCTAATAAAAATAAAAGTTATATATATTGAGTCGGATCATATTAAATTGAATTAAATCAATTTTCATCAGAAAAATATGTATGATTTTAAATTAGATAAAACTTTTATAAAGTAAAAATAGCATATGAAAGGATATAATATTCCTATCGACTAAAAATCTAACTCATATTCCTTTTTTAATGTCTCGTAACAATTAAAAGTGTAAAATTTCAATAAATTATGTTAAAAATGTAAGAATAAAAAATTATATAAAATTTTCCAAAAAAAATGTATGATTATCTCCAATACCTCTCGTTTCATCTTTAGACACATTTTTTTGTAGGTGAAAGTTATAAGATTTTGAAGGATATTCAAAATTTGCAACGCTCATTTGCAACGACATGAGAGGGACGTGGTTCCAAGAAAATAAAATATCCACTTTTGTTATTAAATTTAATAGGATAAAATATATAAATGATCCCGTTTATAAGTTCTTGTTATGTCGGGTTCCTCGACTATTTAGAGTTATAAAATGATCACTCGACCATTCATATGTTCCAAATTCGTCTTTTCCCGTTAGAAAATTAACAATCATCTGAGTTAGACATTAACATACCCACTGAGACATGAAAATCTTTTAAGATTCTAGGATCATATTTTGTCATAAATCAGTCAACAAGTTACCTTCCAACTCAGATTGCAAGTAAAAAATTTTAATAGAAAATGACGAGTTTGGAACATATATTATCAAGTGACTATTTTGTTACTTTTAATAGTTGTATGACTTAACAAAGCAATACATATAGTCAAGAGGCGGTTTTATAACTTTTAATAATCAGAAAATTCAACAAATGTATTGCACTATAATTGGAGGACTATTTACGTACTCTACCCTAAATAATAACAATGGTTTTAGTAGAACCAAAATCAAATTTGGTTTGTGCAAATATCTGTGTGGAAGAAGCAAGCCGGCGGCAACCGGTCTACGGACGGATGTTCTGAAACGAACATGTGAAGCTGTCTTTGTTAGAATTAACGCATAGTTTCAAACCCCCTCTGAATTTGAAAATGATAATTCATTAAATTAACAGAAAATATACAAAAACAAAGGTGAGAATGTTAGTATTGTCCGAACCCTAGTACACAAGGCCTAAAATCCCTAAGCTAAAGTACACTCATATGATCAGCCAAGCCAAGCCTTAATCATTCCCTCTCTTAGCCCACTTGTCCCCTCAAACCCTAAATTTGATTCCATCTCCATCGTAATATTTTATTTTACAAAATCCTTCTCAAGAATTTTGATCTTATAAAATCAACTCCTTCAATTCAGATTTTTACCATCTCTAATCATAATATCTTAAATTTAAAGCATTAATTTAAAAAAAATTGAATCTATAAGTCTAACTATAATTGTTACACTAAAAATATATAAAAATAATTCTCAAATCTTTTTATACAGAAGTTTCTAGTTTTATTAAAAACAAAAATTATCAAAGTTATAACAAAGACTTACGACTACATCCAAGTTATAACAAAGACTTACAACTACAACGTAAACTAAATATATAATAAAAATATTTTTCTATAATCATTATCATAAAAAAATTAGCTATTTAACATCACATAATGACTATATAAGGAAAATATTAAAAGTTTAATCAAATAGATTCTAGCAAAAGATAGATACAAATAGATTTGGTAGTATCAATAAATGAATCATAAAAAGAGATCAAACTATTGAAAAACTACCAACAAATCATAAATTAGAGTTAAAAGACATGAAAAAATATCCACGAACGTAAATCGCGTATCCAAATCCAATATGAGAGTCTAAAGCATGAAAGATCAACATGATAACAAATAAACATTATCTAAATCAGTAGCGACGATAAAACTCAACCCTAAAAAAAGATCAATATAATGTTTTATTATTTTCGTTTGAACCGAAAATGTTATGAAAAAATAACATTTTCTATATGAATGAGGTGCGCAACCGAAAAAATGTTAAGAAAAAATCAATATTTTAAGTTACGTCCAATTAAAAATTTTATGCCTTTTATAATATGTTGCTATACTTTCCTATCGTTCTTTTGACTTAAATTAGGTTTCCATCTCTTGATATTCTCGTTTCACTTACTCTTAGTACACACCTTTTCCTTAAAAAGGTGATCATTTAGTGTAAGGCTATAAACAAGTCAACTCCAAAACTCTAAAATAGAGTTTGACTTAAAAATTTACGAGTTTAAAATTTTCAAGATAGTCATATTTCATGGGTTAGTTCAGTCTAGGGATCTTGTTGGTCTCCAAATGCTGCTTAATGACAAGCCTTTTCTTCCCAACGAGAGAAACCCCATTGTAAGATACAATCCTTTGCTTTTGAGATTAAATTACACATGGATTTTGATCATTTACTTGCATTTTACCCTGAATTCTTGTTAAGCTCTTTACCCTTTGCCACCCCTTTCAAATGCGATGATTTTAGAGTGAAATTTGTCTTTAGCTAGGATCAATGGAAGATGGCTGTCTGTGGCTTAGATCCGCCCCCACCCCCGGGGGTGGAGTTGCTTGTCTAAAGGATAGAGAAATGATTTAATGAAGTTATTCCACGGGGACTTAGCTCATGATCTAAACTTAATTTCAAAACCTCTACAATCAAACTCATAACTTAATTTCATCAAATCAAAAAATTTTCCCAACTTAGGATTTAGGCCGAATACACATGAAATATTTTTAAGTGGTTTTAATCGTCAAACAAGTTTGGAAATAATTTTACAACACGAATAACCTCTAAATCTATCATCAACTCATAAAACCCTAACATGTTCTTCAAACCTAAAATTTGGGAACTAAGATTTCAAACAAGATTAGCATGCATAATTTGTACCAAATGATAGAGCTTTCGAATATATCAATTTCCTTTTTCACGCTTTAATCCAAAAATCAAAGGAAATTACTCAAAAATGAAAAATAAATTTTCTCTCACCTAGGTTGGAGCTCAGGACAATGGAGGATGAAGATGAACTTGGTCTCATGAAAGTTCTAGTTAATTTCACGTTAGTTTGTTTTTTGTTAAGCTTAAATGAATTTAAAATTTATTTAATTAGGAAATGACAATTTCACCCTTAATGGAACTTGATAATTACATCCATACCAAGCCACATGTTACTTATTATCTTCCCAAAGTAGGCATGTAAACGAACCAAACGCACACGAACGGAGATATGTTCATGTTCGTTTATTTAATAAATAAACAAATATAAACGAACACGAACATAAACGAACAAATTTTTTTTGTTCATGTTCGTTTATTAAGGAATATAACTTGTTCATGTTTGTTCATTTAATAAATAAACGAACACGAACATAAAAATTGGAGACCCTACCTTCCATTGTTCTTTCATGAAAAATAGTCAACAATGCAAATCAACCAAATCTACGTTATTCTAATAAATTCGCCGGCTAAAAGTTTTGTGACATCAATGTCAGACTTTAGTGAGATTTGTTAATAATGGTCCTTTCCATTGGCAGAGTAGAAAATTTAACAGCATGAAGATTTCGAACGGTACAAATTGGACTA